TGCTATTTAAAAAGTCACAGACAGTCAAAATGTCCATCCACTTCCCCTTCTATAATTTTTACACATGCTAGTCACCAGCGGTTAGATCATATGTAAAGCAAGCACTGTGAAAAGTCAAACTCAGTCAACAGACCATGAACAGACAAAGCAGGCAAGTTGTGGGCACAGCTGGCTTATCAATCACCCACAGTCAAAGCAAAGCTGTATCAAGTTACATCAAGAGTCACAGCCAGTCAATCCTGCTTTATGTGGGCTTGGAATGTTAAGCTGTTGAAAACAGCCACTTGATTGATTTTGACTGAAAGGACAGCTTGACAAAGAATGTAGATTGGAAAGGAGGGTTAAAGCATGTATGATGTTGACTGGATCATTGTGGAGAGTTGTATGGTTGATGATAGACTCTGCACACAAGTATTAAACATCTCAACGGTGACGACAAGAGAGCTAAGCCGTGTTCACATTGGATTTTTTTTTTAACTAACAGAGACTGTTGACCTGTCCAGTGCAGACCTATGGAATCTTAATCACTTGTAGTAACTTTTCATAAACTGCTGCGTTCTGCGATATTATTCAGTGCGTTTTTCCGCAACCACATCCGGTGTTAGGTTAAAAGGTCAATAGCAGGGCGCCCTCATAAGATTGAGAGAGAGAATGTAAAGTTTACACAGCGAATGACTTAATTTCCACAGGGCAAAATGAATCCAAGTGTGGACACACAGTAGAATAACCACAGATGATTAACTTTTTACAAAGTGAAGTCCAATGCGGAGGCGACTTTTGACAGACTTTTGTGGTGTGTCCCTTATAGAATCATGGTGTGAATGTACACGCACAACACCTTTGCTAGCCAGTAACAGACTGAATGTATACTTTTGACAATACTGAGCAAGATGGGGACATTTTTCAAAGATTGTAATGCTCTGAAGAATGTGATACACCAACAACGGACCCCCTAAACTATTTTGACCAAATCTTGTCTGGACACCCCCACCCCCAAATAAGTCGTAAAGGACATGACACACACCTGACTGGGGGTCATGGGTCAATGGACCAATCCATTAGAGTTGCAGACCAGTAAATAAACTTCCATAGACCCCAATGGTAAATGCTCCCACTTCAGAAATTCGGGAAAAATACTCACAACTCTCCAAGGTGTTCGAGACACACATCAAATTAAAGCTTGTTTCATCATCTTTCATTTTCTTTTCAATTTTTGGGGGGTCAACTGATGACTTTTAGGAGAAATTTCCATCCGAAGATGATCACCCCTGAAAATAGTCCTGAAGCCCATCGCCATTTTGAAAAACGATGCTTATGCTCCATTGCAAAATAGAGCTCTAGTCTTTAAGGGCCCAAATTTCATCCAAATTGAACGGAACTATACAAGCTCACAGTCCTGTGCACGGCTTCCACCCATATTTTTTACAAACCCTCAAGTTCATGGCCCACAGCATGCTCCAATACTGAAGATTTTGAGGGCATGCAAATCGTGATTTGGCCGGTGTAGGCAATTTCGGACCGATTTACTGGTCTGCAACCTATTAGGTCCCGACCACTGTACACATGGGCAACAACATGTGCACCTCCCCAATGCCTTACTGCAGTAGTGTTGCATTGGATGACAAGCTGACATAGACAAATAAGCATGAAATATGATGACGCTGTGTACGAAGCTTAGAAAGTTAAGCATTCCTGCAGTCAGATTACATTGTACATAGTGCCATGTGCAAAACAAATGGACAGATACATGTACATGTATAAGGAAAACATGGCAACAGGTTTATATTTACAGCAGTATGTCAAGAACAGAACACAAAATTACATACAACAGACCAACATACAAAGAATGACAGTAAACTTAAGCATAGTAAAGCCCTTTTGCCCCTCCCCCCCACATCACTCATTCCCTTAAGACTTTCTTGCCTAGTCTCTCCAGAATGTTTTCCAACTAGTCTGAGCTTCTTCTGCAGAACACATAGTGTGCACTACTTGTTTTTCAACACACTTAGATCGTATCGCTTTTCTCAACCCAAAGTGCCTCTATAAATTTTTCCCCAATAAAGCAATTGGAAGACAAAAATAATGAACGGAAGGCTTCATTTGAGAAAGCTGAGAATAAACCAGATTTGCGCATATTTTTTTTAAATTGACGTTTCCAAATTGAAACGTTTTGAATCATCACGGCCAATTTAAGCTATATTCAGGAAAACTGAAAAGCATGGATATGAGATGAACATATTTATCATGTTTGTGGCGTGTGAAACTGAAGATGTTTACCTCGTGTCTTCTTCCTCATCATCACTTTATCAGCCCAATATAAACAAGAGGCAAACAAGGAGAAGGGAAGGACAACACACACAGCACTGGTTAGTTAGTGTTAGAATCAATACACAGTGAACAAAACAAAATGTAACCCACTAGCACTTGTATTTCATTGGTCTAGGACGGCCACGTGTCTGGACAAAAATAAAAAACATGGGTGATATCGCCCTACATATGTTGCGCACCCGTGTGGAACCTGCCAGTGATATACATGTATCTTTGCGCAATGAATACTGCAACGTCAAACGCTCAGTCTCATGTCCGGCAGGACATCAAAACCTTCAGTTATCAAAGGTTACATCGCAGTGATTTTAGTTTATTTCTCACACAGTAAGTCACAATCATTTATATGTTTTAGTTATTGGCACGATATAACAAGACAGTGGGGCGCATAGTTCGCCTCGGGTGCTATGCACACCTCGGGTGTTAAAAACGTCATATCCCTCATCAAAGCAGTCAACAATTGTTAATTGTATTTCACTTTATTGATTTTACTGATAAATCTGTAAAACCATGAAGTGCTGGGTATATTCTGGTTTTTTGGTTCGGGGAGTACAGGCAGTAACAGGTGGCATAATTTGTAGGGAAAGTATAGGAATTAACAGGTTAGAGGGCCCATGCAATGTAAGTTTTTAAACCGTAAAAATGTTGTACTGTCTTTTACGGTAAGCCATCAATTACACTGCTTTCAGCGCATGCTTTGCAAATTTCGCCTCTAGGCCCAATTCCACCATACTCCATCAATATTTAGTCAAACCAGGCCTGCAGGACCAAGTCTTCCAAAATCCACCAAAATGGGGGGATGGCTATTGATGGAGTTGGGGAGGTAAGGGTTAATGCAATCCGTGAAAATACACCTCTGTGTCCCATTTAACCTTACATGTATTTTCAATTTTCGTTTTCCAATTTTCAAGGGTATGTTGTTGACTTTTTTTGTTTTTATGCTAAAAAAATGCATATTCATGAGCAAAGTCAAACCTCAATGTTACAGCTATTTCAGCACAAAAAGATGCTAGAATTTTGGATATTTTGCTGTTGTAAATTTTCTTTTCTTTGGCGATTCGTTGTTTTGTCAGTACACGGCAGTTATTAGCCAATGACCAAACCAATCTCACAAATGTTTGAATGAGCATATTTTGGGTTAACAATTTGAACAGAAAACCCCTAAACTGAACAGTGTCTTCCTGAAATGACATCACAGCAAAAGCATTGATTTTTTTTTAAGTTTGTGCACTTTTTAATAAAATTAACCCGAAAAGGGAAGTCAAATACATTTGTAGTTTTCATGCATTTAAGAGTAGAAAGTTGCACAAAATGTGTTCCTAAGTAAAACCCATCACATGGCCCCTTTAATGAAGATTGTAGGCATTCTGCGAACAGACAGGTCCATTAAGCAGGAACTTATGAGGCATATTAGACATACATGTTGTAGGACCAACCATCTACAATGTATGCTTGAGCAAATTTTGCAATAGTGCAAACTTGTGCATTCTAAGTACGTGTGACAGCCAATATTGATTGGTGAAGTTTGTCTGTCAGAGTAGTTTTGTTTAATTTCAAACTCTTTGTCAGAGAAAGAAGACGAATGGGCTTGGTATTCATTTACACAATTTCCTATTTTACATTGGAATCTTGATTTTTTTTTCCCCAGCAATTTCACATGATCCAACTTTTTATGCTCTACAAGTGTTAACTGTCTATACTATTTTAAAAGATTACAATTTGTAATGACTATCTGAGATATCAACATATGTAATTTGAACAATGAAATACAAGGTGAGTAAAAAAAAAACGAAACCCAAATGGCACGACCAATTTTGAAAGAAATGTTGCCTGTAGCACTTTCAAAATCTAGGATATAAAAAGCCCAATCAATGAGCTTTCTTTTAGTACAAGAATCATTCAAATCACTCATGTACTTTTCAAGTTACGGAATTTTGAACACAAACCCAGTTTTAAAGTTAAAAAGTACACAAGTGATTTGAATGATTCTTGTACAAAATGTACTAAAAGAAAGCTCATCGATTGGGCTTTTATATCCTAAATTTTGAAAGTGCTACAGGCAAAACTTTTGGTCCTGCCATTTGGGATGCATTTTTTTACTTGCCGTGTATTGTATCTAATTGTAAGAGTCCTGACCTGTTCTTAACGGCCTCCTCTTCCAGGTGGTCTGAGGCTGCACTGATGGTCCCTAGCAAGGCACCCAGCTGGGTCTGAACCTCCTTCAGTAGGAAGCGCACACAAAACTGATCCTGGAAGGTCTTATCTGGATATTTCTATAAAGAAAAGGGCATGGAAGTTAGGCTATATTCCGGTCCGTGGACTTTAGCTCTAAAACACTTCTGACTACTGCAACCTCAAGAAATAAACTTTGCGTAGTGTGCAACAATGACTAGTCCAAATCAAACACGCAGTCATGCATTGCAGAGGAGCAAGGCTTACGTGGAGATGTCAGGGATTATGAATCGTGATGAGATGGTCAGGGGTTCAAAGCCAACAGATGAGCATGTGATATGTTCTTAAGCAAGCCACTCTTCCCCGATTGCCCCTCCCCACCAAATAGTTCTCAGGATCGGAGTAGTCCTAAGAATTCTGATTGGCAAGGTTTAAGACTCAAATTCTAATAAACTTAGTTACATTTAAACCTTATTCATAAATACCTAGGACAGTCTGACCATTCCTATTGGCCAAAATATGATGATGGCCGGTTTTGAACCAGCAGTAAAACACGCTGTGAGCCACTGGCCACATTGCGCAGTACGCATCACGCGCCAATTTCCATATGAGGCGACGTTTAACACTACACACATGAGGCACATAGACATTAACCAGAGAAGTGTTTCACAAAACATGAAGTAAAAGTGTTGAACAAAAACACTGAAGATATTTCAATTCTTGACTTTTGACTTTTTGACCAAAATGTTATTTATGAATGGGGATAATAGTGTGCTGGAACAGTTTTAAACGTGATGTTTAAAACTGGGTAGGGGTCTGGTCACCGAACAGTGAACAGACCCCTTCATGTTTTAAATCAACTTACAGTGGCTGTTGTTTGTAGCGCTGTAGAGACAGAGACATTGATGTCCTCCAGAGCAGCAAATATCTCCCTGTAGGGCCCAAGATGCTTGGAGAAGTATGCTGTGTTACGCGGGAAAAAAGAAAACAATTTTGACAATTGCTTCAATCGTACGATTTTCTTTAAAACTGTAAATTTTAACCAAATGTCTGCATGATTAAATGAGACAGGAAACATTGGCTCCAACTTCTATAAGCAATTCCAAAACCAAAGCCCTCTTTGTAATTTATCCCTAACCTTCCCAAATCCTTCAAAATCCTCTTTGCATAATCCTCTTTGCCTCTTTGCAGGATGGAGGCTATAATGGCAAAAGTGTGCGGCTGATTTTGGAGGATGCACCGTGTCAAGGTCTTGGGCCAGACCTCATGTTGTTTATACTCAGCCATAAAACCTGCAAATCCTCATTTCGATCTCTGCCCAATTTATCTCATTTGCCAAACGCCTCACAGATGCTTTCGTTTGTGAATCTACTCACTGCAAAGTTCCCCGGTGTCAATGTTTATAGTGTTATGGGTGTCAATCTCATGAAACAGCGCATCTAGTTCCTTGGCACTCAGCACGCCGTCAGCAAAGAAAGATCGGAAATCCTCCAAAGACAAACAGTTGTCATCTGAAATAGAGATTCAGAGAAATGATGGTATCATTCAATAAATGCTGGGCCCCAATTTGACATTTTTTTCTGGCCCTGATACTTTGTAATTTGCCATTCAAGTTTCATGACTTTCAACAATTGTTTTATTTGTTGGGTAGGGAGTTGGCTAGTCATCTGATGTCATCATTCTTGCAGGATGACTGTATTAAAGCTATAGTCCATCATTTGCAGCCATCCGAAAAGTAACTGGCGTAATTATTGTTGAAAAACAAACTTGGTTGAAAGATAGTAAGGGAACTAAACTCCCTGTGAAATTATTCTTTCTGGGAAGCTGTCATTTTGAAGTAATCAACGAAAGAAGGCATTTCCAACGGTGATTCTTAAGAAGCACCGTAGGAAAATTTAAATTAGTAGTTCGTTTTGTTATTCAGCGCAGCGCACACAAGTATTGGAACGATGCACACGCGCGCGCGGTTGTTGTAATTCGTCGGATCAGTGCGCGACGTCGCGTATATCTGCAATTCAAAACAATTCAAAACATGATTCAGTAACTTTTGATTTGAAATTGAGATCTTAGAATGCTGTTTTTCTCGGAATGTACAGCTGAAGCTTAGCTGAAACTTCATCAGGTTAGTTGCTCAGTATCCTTCATTAGATTTTGAACTCTTTTGTTGCTTCAAACGAACAAAATACACAATTTACAAATGATGGACTGTAGCTTTAAAGAGTGCATCCATAGATTGATTGATATATCATAGATGTCAGATGTAACACGGACAGGAAACAAGCCCAAGCCACATTTACAGGATAATCCATGTAGTGGTAGCCTGACCTTCATCTCTGACTTTAAAAAATCAGGTGACGCCCTTCAAACACGATCTCTGTTTGTTCATAGAACTGACCAAAAAAAATCATCAGAATGTTAAACCAACATTATCTACATTACACCCCAACTACAGCATCGTCCCAACTACATTTGGGATGATCCCAACTATAGTACCAACAATAGTTCAGACTTCCAAACTATTGTTGGGACTGACCCAACTACTACTATACTTGGGGCCACTGCTGTTGTTGGGGTGTAACATCTATTAAAACAAACAATATCTCACCATCTTTATCTGCCCGCCGAAACACCTGCAATAATAATAACATCTTTGTAATTGTTACAATAAAATTAACAGAGGCTGTTTGAGACATGGGGGATATGGAGAAAATACAGCATTGGCCTATGGGCCAAATTTATGGGGCAAATTGAATATTCATTATTCATGTTATTGCTATTGGCAGGTTAAGGCTTAACACGGACCAATCACAACTGGTTCACTGTGCCTGATGCAGTTGCGTGGGGTGGGTTGGTGGGGGTTGGTGGGGGGGGGGATTGGTGGGGGGTGGTGGTTGCATGGCGGGTTGACGGTTTGGGGGGTTGGGTTGGGGGTTGGAGGTTGGAGGGGGAGAAGGGAAGAGGGGAAGGAGGGAAGGGGGGAAGGGGGGTTTATTTATGATATTTATTTATTTACAGTTTGTTGACGATATTAAGCAAGTCAACAATTTTTTTTTTTTGAAACTGACTTTTGGTCAAATTGTTCTTTGTGTCAATGTAATAAAATGGGCAGCAATTGTTAAAAAAATAGTGATTTTCCAGGTTTTTGTCACTTCATAAAAACACCGACGAAATATGCATATTGCATGCGTTTATAAAAGTGTAGGCTACAGAAGGACACGCCTTCTTTTAAGTCATTATAGCAATGGCAACGCCACCGCCGTTTAATACGATCAACAGTGCTCATCACACACACAGTCAATGAGTCATGACACTTTGACAGAGAAAAAGTTATGAACGTTATAAACTTACATCCAAAAATATCGACATGCCTTTTTCCTTTTCAATTGATGCCATGTCCTCTAGTTGATAAAATAATGTATGCTTGACAAAAAAAACCGCGGATTTTTGGTATATTTTATGTATTTCAAGTGGGCTTAGTTAGTGTCCGAACTTCATATATCAACACACGATCGATCGCGTGCGCACGGTACCATGCAGTTTGTAGTTCTAGCACAACCGCAATAACTAATACTTATGGTAATTTATGCGATGCAGCTGTACTGGACATGAATTATGCAGTATTCAAAATGTTGATTTATTCGGTCGCATTGTGCATGCATTGTGAAACAAAAATTAACCGAATAAAGCAACATAATTATGTCCCTGCTCTTCAAAACAAAAATAGACTGCTTGAAAAAAAAACCCACCACATTTTAACAAAATTATTAACATTACATTCAATTTTCCCATCAGGAAATAAATTAATATGTTGCGTATCTCCCTCGCCGTGCGCAAGCCATCAGCTACACACACGTTTACATCATACCTGGACACCACTTGACACTTGATTTGATTTGAATTTGAATTTGAATTTGAATTTGAATTTGAATTTGAATTTGAATTTGAATTTGAATTTGAATTTGAATTTGAATTTGAATTTGAATTTGAATTTGAATTTGAATTGAATTTGAAATTGAATTAGATTTTGATTTTGAATTTGAATGTGAATTGTATTTAGATTTGAATTGATTTTCCATGCTAAATTACATTTTTAGGACATGTTTTCGCTTTCTGGCTAATTAATAGGTCACTGCTATGTTGCATGCAGAGAAAAAAAATGTAGTGATGTCCATATGCATAGACATGCATGCTGCATAATTCATATTTAACAGCGCCAACTCTAGTGACCCAGGCATAAATTATCATAATTTCCATTCTAGCGGTTGTGATACTGCCACTAGGTCGCGCCTCGATCGTTTGACTATTGCGCCCACTTGAGGGCGCTGTACAGGCTAGGCAGCACATGCACAACTCGCAGTAGCACAGCATAGTGCGAGTGTTGAGTTCGAGTGACAAATTATAATTTATTTCAGGTGTTTCACCGTCTTAAAACACATGCAAGATGTCGGGACACACGTCAAAGATGAAGATACTTTTGGGCCAAGTTATTGGCACCAAAATGAAAAAAACTGCCAAGGTTCGGGTAGAGCGGCTTGTGTTAGACAAATACGTTATGCAGGTAAGAATTTACAAGTTTTTACAACTAATCGTGTCCATCGATTATCAATATCATGATGATCAATATATAGCCTGGCTAACGAGTAACGTTTAGTAAGTTATTGAGGGGTTTTTGTGTGGACAAGTTTTACAAATAATGATTTAATTAATTAACCGATCTCGCAAGCTTGGTGGTCGAGTGGTAAGACTGCACTAGAATAAAGCAGGAGGTTGTGGGTTTGTTCATGTTTGAGGTAACGTGTTTATACATCAGTGAAAGGCAAAACGTATATGATTTATGATTTAATCTTTTTTTTTTGCAGTGGCCATCATTATGGCATCCGTAATGCGATCTTCAACTGCTATTTCAGCATTGATAAAAGGCAGTGGATATTTTGCCAGAGACGGCAAACCTTTAGTAAACGTTAGTTTGCCGGATATGCACTGAACATGCGCAGTTACTGGTTTTTTGTACTTAAAACATTTTCCGGTGACAAATTTTAGTCTGGCTCCATGCCAAAATTATCGTTGTAACCTCGTATTCTCAAGATGGGATTCAGACCATTTTATAATTTCGGACTTTATTTCCCTTTTAAAAAAAATCCTCCAGAGCCACGAATCTGAAAAAGAAAATGTAATACTCTGCAAAAAAATGTTTGAGACATGTTAAAATAATAAAAGAAGAATATTCTTATTTATATTTGGGGATGAGAAAAAAAAACTTAAAAATGTGCTGCGGTCGGAATCGAACCCGTGTCATCCCGCTTACTAGAGCCTTTGCTTAACCACTACACCAAACGTGCTGCACAACTTTTGGTGGGAATTTAATACATCTTATAATTCAGCCCTATCTTAAAGAGTACAGCGCCCTCTGTTGATATGGATTGCCGCCGGCAAACCTTTAGTAAACGTTAGTTTGCCGTCATTACCTCCGGCAAAATATCCACTATCTATAGAACACCATTGCAATACAAATCTTTTATCACATTTAGATAGGCCTACCAACCAATCTGCCTGATACTTTCGTTCTGTCTTTAGTAAGCCTATTCCTTTTAAGCGACACCACGGAAAGAAAAGCAGATTCATTATGGTCACTGACACTGAAAACAAATTAATTTCTTGGTTAAACCAGTAAAAGTACAAACCAGTGTTTGCAATTGATCACATCAGTACCATTGCACTCTTTCATTCGCAGTATTACCCGAAGCGGACCACGGTCTTTGCCCACGATGCTCAGGAGGAGGCCAAAGAGGGTGACGTCGTCCTAGTCCAGCAGCTCCCGCTTCCCCGCTCCAGGCACGTCAAGTACCTCATGGATCGCATCATCTACAGCCAGGGGAACGTGACGGATCCCATCACAGGGAAGAAGTGCGACGGATCGTCCTACTGGGATGAGGACACGTTGTCACAAGGACAGAATGACAGTGAGGGGCGGTCAGGGGCTGAGCTGGATGCAAGTGCTGATGTGGACTCTTTGGAGATGGGGAGACAATCGGAGGGAACACCTGTTTGATGTTGAATGAATGTTCAACCTCATCATTTGGACTGACAATTTTACAAAGTGGACATTGTACATACATTTTTTCAGAGTGATCATTCACAGCATTTTCTTTTGAGGTCTTGAGCCAGCCTCAGGTTGACCTTGCAACGACACAGATCAGTCGGCGACTGACTTTTCAGGATCAAGCTGTGTGGGAGCTACGACCGTCGGGAACAACTCAGTCGCCGATTTTGTGCGACCTGAGTGTAACTGTGATGATATTAAGAGGATCGGCATCAGTCGGCGCTCAAAAAAAAAAAACAGTCACAAGAGTAGAACAATTTCAACATCTGCGACGTGTTCTACGACCATCACACGATTTCTCAGTTTTGTGACCTGAGCATAATCCTGGGTCGACCTAAGGCCGGCTTTAGAGAGTTCATCTGAGGGCCAAACATATTATGTATGTAAGGCTGGCAGGACTTTTGTCAACAATAGACCAACCCACCGTGCCTCTCCATTACCACCCATGTATGCTCCAGCCTAGCACGCTATACTTGCGTGTATGCATGTCGGACTCTTGTGCACACATATATCTGTAGCTGGTCAAAACACGATGGGGCAGGCAGGTTTAATTTCACCCTAACTCCCTAGGCCCTTTTGGCTAGGAACCATCATCAATCCTGCAAATTCCTCCAATTGCCACCATGTAAAATTTGATTCAGCCTCAATTCTCCAAAATCATCCGTTAGGCCCTATTTCTTGAATTTGTTCAGTGGAGGGATGACCATTGCCTCAATGCTTAAAAATCCTCCAACAATCACTCTCATGGGTTGAGGCAGTGCTGATGACATTCAGAAGCAGTGCGGATGATATCGAGCATAATGCAGGGCTCAATTATGCATGGCTGAACATCAACAATGCTGGGTACAGCCTACGAACTCGACACAATGAATCCTCCAAAACCAACCAACACATTTAACTACAATGAATTCCATTGCAGAGGGTGCATTTAAGAATGCCATGTGCTTAGAAACATTTTGATACACACATTTAGGCTTGTATGGAAATAAAATCGGATCTTAAAATCCAATGCTGTGATAGCAATGTCTAATGTACAGCAAGGCATTACCTCAGTTGCATTGTACATTTGGTTCAAATTTTTCACTTGGATTGGCTTAGCGAATTGCTTTATATCAGCAAGATATGATATTTTATCTTCTGTTATTTCCAACACTGAGTAGGCATGCAACACACAGCTGTTTACACTCGTTGGAGGGGTACATGTGTATACATGTGATTAGTACATCCACTGCTCCAATTTTTGTTGAAAGTGGGTATTTTTAACAGTAATTATTTTACTGTCGAGTGGGATACGATCCTAAAAGTAAATTAACACAAAGTACAGTAGTTTCACAACAAGAGATTTTTATACAAGTACAAATGTACATCTTCTCTCTTGGGGATTTTTTTTATTGTACAAAAATTGTTCAATGTTCTGATTTCAACTTCAAATTCATTTATGATACACGTCTTACGGCAATTCCAAAAATAATCTAATTTACAACTACTGTTACCCACGGTTTGGATGGTCCTCCGCCGAGTCAATTGTCAACAACACTTCCTATACAAGTTATTTACAAACTACACACCACAGGTGCTTCCTGCAATGTTGGCCTCCCACAAACAGAATGATTGTGATGTGATCATATGCTTAGAATTCAATCGTCATATCGGCTGTAAACAAAGGCTACATGTCAGTGCTGTAGTCAAGTCCGACACAAGTCCTTTCATTAGTAAATTACAAGTCCTTTCATAAGTCCAGTCACAAGTAACAGGGGATGAGCAATAACAAGGGAATGCCTTTGTCAAAGCTCATTTGAATAGCTTGTGACTTGACTTGGGACTGGAGGACTTGTGATGGATTTGTGATGGACTAAACTACAACACTACATGTCTGTTCAGCTGTAACAAGTCAAACTTTCCGCCAACATCCTACACAGATTTAGAAACCATTGTAAACCACTGGAGGACTTGTCCCTTTACTCTCATTTATCAAGGTCATGCGGTTGTTTATGGTGTAAATCGAGGACACATATGTGCAACATCATCAGTGGATCGAGGACAGGAACCAAATCGAGGACGACCTCGATTGGAAAACGTGTACAAAACCAATGAGAGCTATTGTGAAAAAGTGAAAGTACAAACAAAGGAAAAGGGAAGAGGAACAAAACAAAGTCCTCGATTTACACCATAAACAAACATGTCTACATGAATGTGTGTTCCCTAAAAATGATACAAATTTTGAACCACTCCTGTGGAGAAACAACCTTTCAGTTTTCTCCATTGATCAAAATCCAAGAATTGCACTGTAATTAACACAAATTGCATTAATTACAAATACAAAGTATCCATTCAGATTATTGGCACAATAGCACAATTAGCTCGGCACAATAATATCTCAAATATGTATGCATTGGACGATGCAAATTATAAACAGATTGTGGCTTTGTGAGTGACGAGTACAACTAGGAAGAAGTTTACGGATATATTATATGAAGTTACTAATAGAAGTGGTTCGTGATTTGCTCAGTATTATCTGTCAAGAAGTCACTCCACATGCAGATAGTCACTTCGCATGATGTCTCTGCAAACTTCTAAAATTTGTATTAAAAGTGCAGGCTGTTTTTACAAACATGCAAGTATCTTTCAACAAATCTTTCATACAGATGTAATGATCTTGTTGATTGGCTTATTTTCTGCCTACATAATTCTGCTTTTTTATTTTATTTTTTTTAGCTTAATGAACATTTAGAAAGATGTCAAAAAATACAAAAATACTTTCTGATTGCAATAAAATAAACCTCCAGTATAACTCACTCGATTTTTTATTTGAAAATAAAGGCAAAGTCACTTCCGAAAATAAGAATGAGACTTTTTTCAATTCAATTATTTTTTTAGAGAGGTCAGTGAACAATAGTGAATAAAATCATTGTAATACCCTGAATTTTACACAAAATATTTTAAGTATTAAATATACAAAACTGAACAAAGAGTGGCAATGGCCATCCACATACAGGTCCAAATAGGTCTGATACCTCAGCCCACATAAAAACCATGTATGTGAGTTTGAGAGGAAAAAAAGATGGAAAGAAAGTTGTATCCAGACGCCACTTCTTTAGTTGTGTACAAAGTCTATGGAGAGTCGAGTGCATTATTAAAGTATATCCTAACAAAATTGGAAATGTTTCTCAGTCCCAGATTCATATCTTTTCAACATTTTTGCAATGAATGACCTTCATTGAGATACTATATGATGAAAAAAGTGGCATCAGGATGCAACATTCTTTCCAAACAGAGTAACATTCTTCTGTTGCCTCACTGACATGTCTCATATCCATTACCATATTCTGTTCCTTTAGATTTTCTTCTTTTTTGGAGGGGCGGGGTGGGGGTGGGGGGCTATCACCCAAACACAAGGCCCTGAACCATTCAAGGTGTGGGCTACAAACTAGTAAGAACAAAAATGCAAAAAAGTCATAGTGACAGGAGATATCTGTGCACTTTTGAATTGTGAAAGATTGTGGGAAGAAGGGGAACAAGATTCAGGTAGGGAGTTCCAGAGAGGTGGACAGAACAAATGAAAATATATACGAATCGCCACCTTTGTAGAATTCACCAGTTAAATGCACATCCTACTATGTATCAATAAATGATCCAAATTTCATGGGGTTTGGGGGTTAAATTGAAACATCATTTGATAGATCATGGTAACTTTTTGTCATAAAAAGGACTACATTCAATATTTGAGTTGATTTTTTCATAGTAGATTTGTGGTTGTTCCTAAAGCTGCTCTAACATTTGCTTGCGCCGATTTCATTCAATTCCCCCTTTTTTGGGAGGGGGGGGGGGCAGCAAGTACTCCCCTTGCTACACAATATCCCCTTGCATCGCACCAACGACATCATTGCAATACTACTTTCATATCAGTTGACGGTAATTTACACACACACAAACAAGCACTTCTGTACATCACTTGAAAACATACATATTTACAGAAAAACAACATTTGGGAATATACTGCTGCAGGTCCTCTCTTTCTGACCAAGATATGAAATGTCTCGAACCCAACAGCTAGTCTAATGCTCCTTTTTGGAATTCCAGCATCACATCCCTTTTTAAACTGCAATAGACCGATTCATTGACCCCTCCCTGCTGCGCACATGGGCACCAACACGTGCACATCTCCAATGGTGCACTGCATGTTCCAGCCGCGCGTCATACCTATCTGGCATTAATAACGTTGTGATTGGTCAAAAGAGATCTTGGGGCGGGGCTTAATCTGCATTGATATGCAAGATTGAATAAATTGCATTACCAAGCAGTGGTGATTTCAGATTTCTGTTTGAGGACTATTGACAGTGAAAATATTGCAGCATCAGTATTGTGTCGGTGTGTATCCATGAGGCTTCAACTCTTACTGTATGTCAGTAGGTCATCAATCTCGGCTGCCATCCTGTCCTCGTTGCTGCTGCTGGGTTCCGAGTCACTCAGCCCAGCGCTCGAGCTACTATCCAGTGAGTCTTGCACTGAGTCGCTGTCTCTGTCTGGCCTCCTGGGCTTCTTGGTCCAACCTTTGGGGTTCTCGGCAGTGAGACTGTCATCGCTGGAGGTTGAGACTGCCTGGGTGATGCTGCCAAGACTCTCCTGGTTGCTTCGGACGTCTTCTGCCAAGCTGCTGCTACTGCTGCTGCTGCTCTCATCGAAGATACCTTCCACTTCTTTGTCCATGCTTTCCAGCTCCTCTGAGGAGAAACTGTACACTGGGTTGTATTCCGCAGATAGACTTAGCTGCCTTGTCTTGATCCCTGCTGGAGCTGATTCCATCTCCTCACTTCCTCGGTCATCTGTCATTGAGTCGGGAGAGAGCTTCCTCCGCTTTTGATCTTCCTCGCGATCTGGAAGGGGTCGGGACTTCCCCGCCTTCTTTTTTTTAGGAGAGAGTCTTGGGCCAGTCGGCGGGCTGTTTCGCTATCGCTGGTACCCGGTGTGCTTGCACGGCTGCTTGATTTGGAGCCAATGCCCAAGCGGACGTGCCCGGGAAAGAGTTTGAAGAGACGTTCATCCACATGCTGCCACCTCTCCCAGCAACACCAGAGCCAATCCGGCGTGACGATGTGGATGTTCTTGGCTCGCTGTGCAGTGTGAACCTTGGATGTGCCAGCTTTGGCTGCAATGAGGTGTGTGGTTGCATTGATTGGGGTCGATGATCCCTTCGCTCTGCAGATGATGTTCGGGCTGATGCGAGCTCCAAGTGCCGTGGCAACTTTCCAAGCTTTGCTCTGCTCTGGGTTCATGTTTGTTGGGAAGACTCCGCTGAAAACAAGGTTTACACCGGCCAGCACTTTCTGCTTCAGGGCCAGCAAAATTATTTTTAAATCTGGAATGGAAGGTTTGTTCTCGTGCTGAGGGTTCTTCTGCAGGTGATCATAGGCATCGTAAAACTCCTTATGGATACGCTCAAGTATGTCTTCCAAGTAGAGAAAATAATCATCACTGTCATTACTTTCCTCTTCGATTGGCTTCTTCACAGTCTCTCCTGACTTCTGGTCTCCATTTTCCTGAGTGCTGTCCGCGTTAGACTTCTGAATTTTGGGCTCACTATTGTCCATGGGCTCGATTGCCTCTTTAGATTGTTCATCTGGCGTAGGTTCCCCTCCTGTGGTAATCTCTTTGTCGACTGAGGAGGACACAGTATCATCTTTGACAGTTCGTTTTTTCCGCATCTGAAGAATCCTTCGTCTGTGCTGCATCAGACTCTTCAACCTCGGACTCCTTGGCCGACTCCTCAACCTCCTTCTCAGTTTGTTTTCTGGGATCCATTGGAGACTTAAAGTCCTTCCCTGGTACACCAGGAGGGGCGTTGATGTCGCCTGTACCTTCAAAATATTTGTAGGGAGGGACCACAATCAAATTTGGTGCGTAGTTCCAGACATCATCTCGATCATCAATGATGACCACCATGTTGTCCCCACAAGGAAAAATGGACCTACAAAGGAATTGTTGGAAAATTATTTTAATTATCTTTACATACCTTCAGGAAACTGATTACTGCCATGACTCAAAAGCTCATGTTTCTTATACCAGGTGATTACATTAAGAGTTATTTTCTGTATATAACCCAGTGTTATACTAAATTACTAGAGCACTAACTCTTCATTCCCTCGCTTGGAATATTTTTGGACAAAACTATTTCAGGTGGAATAATTTCACAGAGAATTTTATTCCAGTCCTTTCTTCACTTTGGGCAAGGACTTTTTCATTAAATCTGAAGGTTTGTTTTCAAGCAATTACAAAGCTTCCTACGTGCCTTCAAAGTGCCGTTAAGAATTTATACCTCAGATTTGCAGTCTTGGAGTTGGGATCAAAACACTCATCCCTGGACAGTATCCTGTGAGAGAAGTACTTCTTTTCTGGGTCCAGGTAGGAGGCGATGGTGTGGGCGTACAGCCGCGCTCCCATGGTGAAGATGTGCAGCTCGTAGAGCGTAGCGGCTTTCTCTAGGAAGGCCCGGTACCCTGGCCGCATCTTGGTGTGGTACCAGGGAAGTTGGCTACCCTGACCCCACAGCTGGAAGTGGCATACTCCCTGGTGAAAGGGAACAGACTATAAATGTGAGCTTGCAATTGCATCATCAAGTTAAAAGAAATGACATCTTGGTGTGGTACCAGGGAAGTTGGCTACCCTGACTCCACAGCTGGAAGTGGCACAAACCCTGATGAAAGGGAACAGACTATAAATGTGAGCTTGCAGTTGCATCATCATGTTAAACGAAATCTGGTTTGTGTGGTTCTGAGAAAGAACCAATAAAAAAACTCAGGGACTCTAAGAAACAGGCAAATTCTCAAAAGAGATTGCTTGTGACATGTTGCCAACTGCAAGTTCACTCTTATTGCCGACTACACCATGCAAACTTTCAAATCTTGACTAGAAATTGACTAAAGTGTTTATGCATTTCTTGGATCGTATCTGGACTAAACAACTCGGCTTCGGTGGAGCCAATCACGAGTCACATCAGAAGTTACAAGTCAGTCACAAACTCAGATTACAAGTAACGGGATGAACATCAGCAAAGAATACATTTGTCACAGTTCATTTAAATAACTCTCGACTAGACTTGACATTGAACATACCAGTAAGGACTTGTGACTGTGTTATGAACGACTTCAGGGGACTTGTGAAAATGGGCTAAAACTCTATTTCTATGCTTAATTTCTTTGGCTTTGGCATTTGCCATCTACTGGAATTTTTCAACAGCAAAAGTTTCAGTCTCGAAATCCGAAAAAACCCAAGGACTGCCAATGCTAAAAGTTCTGTGATACTGAATACCGCTTGCTTTTTACAAAGAAACAAATGTACTGTGGTGCGCAACGGAATGTTTGAGCACTTACAGGCAGGTCTGGCGCAACATTATCCATTGTGGTGTGTATGATGGTCTGGTCCAGATCAACCACTAGCACCAGTTTACGGTTCTTGAGCAGACGCTGCTCGTCCAACTTGGCAAGCTCATACGCCTCCTGGAAAATAAAACAACAACAAAAGAACTTCAAATTTACAAAACACATTGAATTTATATTAACACACATATCAACCAAACAGGTTCTCATGGGGCTAGAGGATATTAGATTGTATGGAATCCAGCAGGGTTAGATATAATTTGACATTAGGTTAAATTAAGACGCAAACTTCCGATGAGCCACATACACACCTCTTTGCTGACTTGCAACTCTGGAATGCTGTGAACCATGGCAACAGAGGCTGTGGTTGCTTGGCGACGCTGTCCAGGCAATCCTTGTGCTCTGTAAACATTAAAGGGAATGTACATCATTGGCTTCTGCTGTAATTGTCAGAAATGAACTATTTGAGGGGTTAGTATAATAGATCAAATATTGTTACACTGACATGTTTGAAGTTTTGTGTTCGAAAATGCTGGAAAAACCAAGAAAAACCAAAAATGTTCAAGTAGTCTGGTTCCCTGACTCCACTAAAGATGAAATGGATCAATTTATTGATGCCGGAAAATTGTAAGGTAAGGGAACCAGTCTAGCTGGCCTGCAGCCGTTCATGAACATGTAACCAATAGCAAACAAAATTTAGACTGAAACAAAATGGTAAATTTGGAGCAGTAGTTGAAAAATAGTTAGGTTTTTCCAACGGTGGTCGGCCGACCACCGTTGGAAATTTATACAAAAATACCACTTTTCTTGAAAATGACTTCACACTAGGTGCCATAATTTTACAGGATGCTTTAGACTGTCATTTACCAACATCCTAGTAAGGTATTTGGTAAAAATTTGGTTGTTTTATTTTTCGATGTTTGCAAATGTTGTATATTCCCTTTCAAGGAAAGTTTGAGGATTTTAAAAGTAGGAAATGCACCCCTGCAGGAATAAAAGTGATGTTGGCAGTAATTTAAATGGTTTATGGGCACATGTAGAAGGCGTCCATAATGCACATTTTCTGGAAGGTTAATTGGAACTTAAATTGAAGGATACATTTTTAAGGAGAGAATTTTGAACCTGAAAAAGAACACATAACATTTTCCAGTTTTTTTGGGGGGGGGGGGGGTTTATACATGTATGTATTCTTGTAGTTTTCTGTTGTTTACTTTTTTAGTTACTGATTCATTTTGTAGTCGTTTTGTCTCAGTTTTCTCCATAACCCACACATTTACTCTTGAGTTAAAGGTTAGTTTTCTTACTCTCTGAGATCCGCTCCGCATTCAGCACACATGTCCTTCATGACAGTGGGATGGGAACAGCTAGCAACCTTCATAATGGCGGTCCTGAAGGAATACATGCAAGGAAAACAATTGAAATATGAAAAATATTAGAAGACACACAATCCTGTTGACTTCAGTAAAGTAGCCTAGGTCATACTGAATGGAAGTGGTATAAAAGTGAAGATGGAAAAGGCACACAAGACAAGTGTGAATTCATGACTCCATCTTTATTTGTCTATAAAAGAATAACTTTATTATATGTGTTTTGTATTTTTATTTTTATGGGATGGTCGGGGTGGAGGAGTAAGAGGTCCCCTTTTAAATACCAGCCAACCATGCCCAATACTTAAACTTCAAATCCCCCCCCCCCCCAAAAAAAATTATATTATCATCATAGCCTTGCGCTAGTAGTCGTAGCTTGAAGAAGAAAAAACAATTAAACAATACTTAACAAAAAGTTTGAACAAAATCCGGAAAAAATGTTGCACCCTGATGCCACTTTTTTCATCATAATATTAACATACTCAGTCATACATTGTATCATGGAGGAATAAGAACACATTGTATGTTATCTCAATGAAGGTCGGTCAGTGAAAAATGTCTCCACAAAGTCTGGCCCACGACAATTCTTTCCCAAAATCCAACCATGGTTTTGGCCCATATGCCATCAAAGTTTTCTAATAAAGTTTTAGCTTTTAAATCATTTCGATTTGCATTTTATTCATTTACTGCAGAGCGCCCTCACTTTCTGGCAGTTTGTCATTTGCAGGATGACTCAACTGCATCCATTTCGAGATAAATTTCTTAAACACAATTAGAGGTCACAATTACCTAACATATCAAATATACACAATTAAATATGTTGTACTTCTCCGCTGGACTAATATGCTATCAATAAGTATAGCCAGGGAATAAAATATAAGATTTTATAAGGAGTGAAATGGACTCAAAATTTTGTACCCCGGATGGACAACATCTCCCTCGCTGACAAGCAACTCCTCGACCGTCCCGAAGTGCTCCGACTTGAATTTAAGCGTTTCGTTGTCATCATAGTCACCATCCCTGTTGGTGTGAAGTATATAGGTTGCAATGACAGATCCTTTTGTAATTGTGGCTTTCGGTTTAACCTTCAATTTTAAGATTTTGCAAATATTTTTGCTCGGAAGCGAAAAATCCATTAAATTTTCCGCCATCTTGATTTTGCGCAACAGACATTTTTATTTTCTTAGCAATAGTCATTTTGAGTTTTGAGTACGATTACTCTATTATTATATTTATAAAAATACAAAACATGTTTAATATTTTTTAAATTTAAATTGAAGGCTCTTAAATAAGTAATTTTGTCATGATTTTATTTTTTTTTCAAACTAAATGTTTGAATGAGACTAAAATTTCGCGCTCATTTTAAACATCTACGACCGTTTCATGACTGGTTTATGAACTACGCGGAGCTACTTACTAAAAATACTACTTACTAGACTAGAACTTAGTTTCGGCCTTTCGCATTCGGCCAAAAATGCGTCTGTTTACAGGTAACTATAATACGTCTCATTCTCATTTTAGTCAGATATTTTATTTAATTACTTGTAGAGTATAAAATAAGGAATAAATGTTGCATCCTGACGCCACTTCCATGACTTCCATGACTTCAGCAGTTGTGTACAAAGTCAGGCATGTCAGGAGAGTAAACACAAATTTCCTAAGTTTCCTACCAACCAAATTGGAAATGTTTCTCAATCTCAGTCCCAGATTCAAGTCTGTTCAACATTTTTGCAATGACCGACCTTCATTGAGATGATATATGGAGAAGAAAGTGGCGTCAGTCAGGATGCAACATTCTTTCCTAAAAATAATAAAGTCGAGTTTTTTTTAGGCAGTGTATATTTTGCCGGAGACGGCAAACATTTAGTAAACGTTAGTTTGCCGGATATGCACTGAACATGCGCAGTTACTGTTTTTTTTTACTTAAAACATTTTCCGGTGCCAAATTTTAGTCTGGCTCCATGCCAAAATTATTGTTGTAACCTCGTATTCACAAGATGGGATTCAGACCATTTTATAATTTCGGACTCCTCCAGAGTTGTGAATTAGAAAGAAAAGGTGTTCGACTGGCATGACAGGTGGGAACAGGATCAACCAATAGTGTCATGATCGACGGATAGCGCAATGCGATTGACCGATGGTGCACATCGACTGAACGAGCCCAACATTATATTAGGCCAACACTTTATTTTTTCATGTAGGATTTTGACAATGTTTTATCTCCAGGGGCAAGACTGCTGGACTAATGGACAATAGAGCTGAACTTGCATCATATTTGATACTTGAAGATATACTTGCTGACACTGACAGTCGAACAATTTTGCTGAAAGGATGACAGTTTTGCAGACAAATACTAATGGGGGATGAGTGCAGGAATGACTGTGAAAAATTGCTATTCATATGTTTGGTTGATGTTTGAATATTCAAATATTTTATCATAGGCTATTTCTATAGTGTAAACTGACATAAGATGATGAGTTCAATCATTCACTGGTTTGGTTTTTGTGTTTTTCTTTGGCAGATGGCGTCGTCAACAGCAACGCATACTCCTCAATCACAGGTGGTGCATTTTGACAGCACCAGTACTTCTCATGGGCGGAGTCTCAGCTCAAGTGGCAGGGGAAAGCATGGCCGACCCGACGACACACACCATACACCAAGACTCCCAAATCAAGACGACTGCATGGTATGAAATGACATACCCACATTTTCTCTTTACCCACACTGTAAATTTTTCACCCTGCAAAATCTCTTGGTTATCTCTGGATTGATCTTTGAGCAAATCTTAACCCCAAGTTGCTCTTGGTTTTCAGCAACATGACCTCAACTTTTGTCACAACCTTGGGTCAAGACAAGTAGAGAACATCCAGCACTTAACCCCCCCCCCCCCCCCCAGGTTAAGCAGTTTGAAACGAGAGGATAGAAGGCATTTCTGAAAAATCTGGGCTGATCGGCAAGACATGTAGGACTGGCTCCACCATAATGATGGAACAAAAATATAAGAATTTGGTGTGTATTTTGTGGTTATTTCCTGATCCTTGAATTTTGCTGCTTTATTTCAGGAAAGAGCAGCAAATTAGAGAGGACACCAGTCCTTCCAGCAGGGGACACCCATTCCCTGAAGCAGCTGACCAGTAAGACGTGGCATGTCTACCAAGTCACCCCACTCAACAACTTCCAGCACAGTGCGGCCGCCCTGCGAAAATACTCCAGGCATCTCTCCGCTGCCTTGCAAGCAGTAAGTGGGATTGAAAATGTAAAGTTTGTTAACATTGTGTGTATAAGTTAGTGCTTTGGGCTTTGTGAACAGTCTAGTGCTGTGCATGTTTAAATAATGTACTATTCGATTGCTGGAACTTGGATTTGATCGAATACTCGAATGTTGGAACAGTGATATTCGAGGTAGCTGACTACCAGATATTTGACAGATTGGAAAGATGCAAATATTACTAACGAAAGCTCTCAAACAATAAACACCACAGACAACACAGATGTCCTCTTCTTGAGACCTCTCACATATTTCTAATATTCTGTTTGTTAAAGTGCTATTTGAATATTAAGTGGATGATCAAATATTTGGATATTCGCTATATTTGGCACAGACCAACCTCAGTCATATAAGTGATGTGAAACATCACTTTCATTGTGGTTCTTCCATGGTATGCAGTATTTCTTAACATTTGATATTAAAAGCATACAGGCCAGTGATGCATCTCTACTTCTTGACTGGTTCCTAACCTCCCCCCCCCCCCCCATACACAGACCAAAATGCCTTAACCCAAACTCCCTTCTGTCATTTACTAGTACTAAACCAAGTCAGCCGAAATCCATCACTCACTCTGCTTCCAATACATGACATAATGGAATCTACTACTGAAATACTGGTGGATATTGATGGACTTAGTGCACATGGCTTATATGACAACAGCAGTACAGGATGCTAAGCAAAACCCAATCGGATACCCCTAGCACTGCTTCAGGCCTCCAGGCCCAAGTCCATCACACTCCATCAATATTTAAGTCAAGCCAGGCCACAAAATGGGGGATGGATATTGATGGAGTTGGGGAGGTTAGGGTTAAGCAGTGAACAGAGATTTGCAGTATCAAGTGATGTATGATATTGTTCCTTTCCATCAGGAGTCTCACAAAGGCATAGGTGTGGACCTAGAGAGCGAGATTGGTGACAGAGCCATCTTCAGCATCTACAAAGGACTGGCCACTTCCCCAGGTACAATAGATCTAAGTCTTTCACAACAAAATGTGTTATAGAACATTGCCTAATCCCTTAAGAATGGTTTAGTTGTAATTTCTTGTGAGTTGTGAGTACAAGTCCACAATTTAACATATGCACCTGAAGGTTTAATTCAATTGAACAGTTGATCATGTACCAAGGTAGCTTGATAGTAACTTATTTGTTAATTGTTTATGTCAGATGACCCAGAAGCTGTTGAGTTGACCATCAAGGCCAAAGGTCAAGGTCGAGGGTCAGCGCTAGGATCATCTGCAATGCCATTCTCTGCTCAGTCGGCTCTGAGCATAGAGATGAACTGGCTGAGAGGTTGACTATGCTACCTGTGCTGTTGGTGAAGGGGACGGCAGCCGTCACTAGATATGTCATCTCATGGCTTCAGGTATTTGGACCGGCATTAGCCATAACTCCCTCTGGCACTTTTGCTAGCACCCTTCCAGAATTTTGACTGGAGACCTGGTGCCAATTTGATAGCGCTGCTTAACAGTTAGCAGAAAAGTTGTGCTTACAATCCTATATAAAAAGATGTGCGCTGTCTGATGTGTGTCTGTCTGTCTGATGTCTGATGTCTGTGTGTCACATTTGTTGTAAAAGGCCTAAAGAGTGTGCGAAAGCACAAAATGCAATGGTTAATGGAGAGGCTTGGTTATTGTATGTAGTCCATTAAACTGTATATATGGTATATATATGCCCCGATTTCACTGTCCTCTGAAGTCACGGTTGGCTCAGGGAAAAATGATTTATTTGTTTTGTTATGCATTTTTGGCAAATTTGTTCCTTTCAGACATTGAATACTTAAATATTACAACATTATCATAGGCTTGGGCGATTCCTCGCCAGAATTGATTAAATTCGATTTCAAACTCTAAATCAGAATCATGATTCAACCTTTTTGAGGAATCAAAATCCTGTAGTAGTTGTTTATAGATGATATGGTTGATCGAATCGTTTCTGAAAGATTGTGAAACTTTATAATGCGTGTTAATTAATTGAATAATTGCCGGGACGTTGTAGAATAAAATGTATGTTGTATTTTCAATTAACGAACACTTAATAACGCTGTGAATGTATACAAATTGTAAATTATCAGTATGAATATTTTTTGATTTTTTTCAGGCACAGTTTGATTGCCATATAAGGAAGATGACCTTTAACCCCATGGCCCTGGTCTGGATGGTGTCCATGTGGGCAGGCATTTCAACAGGTTAGTGTCTTGCAGACAAACAGGTACCAGGCATATTTTGGAAAGACGTTGTGGTTGAACTATGGATGACTATGAGTGTGTTGCTGGGTATAAGGTTTTTGTGGATTACTTATTTTTAATTTGGTTCTTTAAATTCTCTGACTTGTTGAGATGAAATTCATGTATGGACTATGGAGAGGTTTGAAGTAGTTATTAAAATATTAGATTTGTTTATTGCAAACATTGCTGAATCCAGCCTTATCATTCAGTAGACTATTTTGTGCTGGATAAAAAGTTTGTTCTTTCTTTCTAGATGTTTGATTCTGTTGACGTGAGCACTTAACATGCCCTCTATTGTTAGATTGTGTAAGATTTAGTAATCTTCTGATAGAAAATCTCAAATGCGACTGAACAGAAATATGATGGCCTAGCCAATCCTTTTTCTTAATGTCCTTCTGTGCAAACACAGTTTTGTATTTCTTTGTTAAATTCCTCAACAGGAGATAAGTCCAAAACAGTAGAACTTCTGTACACCTTGCCAAAAGCAGTAGAAGGTTTAAGTCGCATCACACTGACGATAGATGCTACCGATGCCAAGACGTTATGGGACAGGTAACTTGCAATTTGGCAAAAACAACTCGCCAATTAACAACAACAACAACAACAACAACAACAATCCCCACCCCGACTTTGGGGCACCTCCCCCAAGGTATTGTGAATGGTTATTGATTTGAAGTGGACCTTAAACTTGTGCAAGAATAGAAATTGGACCCTTTGTGCTATACCGTGCTCAATTGAGACGGAGGGGTACTCCCCCCCCCCCCCCCCCACCACCACCCAGGGGTTCCTAAACACACTCAAGACTTTTGTTACCTAACACATCCCCTAAAAATATCTCAAAAGAATTCCTGAGATCCCAGGGAAATGACCAACACAAAAGAGGGGTTCCCCTCCGTTGCACATCTCACTTCAAATATTTTGTGTGGATGTTTGCAGCGTACATGATGAGGAATCAGTGGACTTCACTGCCGATGAGGTGACGGCTTTCATCAAAGCGTTAGAGGCACACTTCTTCCATCACTTCAAGATACACCTTGCTGTGAGTATACACATCCCATTGGTAGATGCAGGATGCCCACTAATGACATCCTTGTATTGAAGATGTACTGCAGGCATGCAACTGGGAATTTAGAGGGGAAAAAACGAGGAAACTCCAAACCACACAAGACTTTGTACAGTATTTTGCAATTTGTAATGGCATTCATGAGAAGTAAAAAACGAGGAAATCAGCGGATCCGAGGAAAAGTTGCATATCTGGTACTGTTCGTGCTCTTCAACAAAATTGATTTTTCTCCCCTTTGAAAAAGACATTTATTATACTTTTGCGAACAAACAGATCGGCTCTGCTAATAGACTGGTTTCAGTCACATTCAGTCTACATTATCGATGCTGATGGGGAGAAAGGAACCAGTCTGTCCTGAAAGAACTGATTCATTGTCGGACACAATAATTTCAAAATAAATTTTTTTTAAAGTGATTACTCCATTGCTCAACATTGCCTGTTTCTTTTCATTCCATGTCTTATTCTGAAGTGAATTGGTTCATTCCACAGGCACTCACATTATCAAGAATTGGCACTCCTATTGTTTACATTGGCTCGGAGGGCAGGCTCAAAGTAAGTCTTTTGTATTGTTTGAGAATTTTTATTTCGAACTTTGCATTTTTTTAGTGTAAGTTTTGAACGAGGGTGACCATCAATGCAAAGATTTGTCTGAGGAAGTGTGTTTAGCTTTCACCAGCGTAGTTGAACATTGGACGATATTTACAAGCAAAATTGTGTGCCTTGATCTGGGCTCAACTATTTCCACATTCAAAGTTTTTAATTCAAAAAAAAATCCTATTTTCACCATTAGATTCTCTCAGAGAAGGCCATTCATGCCGTTCTGCAGCACATCACGGAGCTGGTGAGGGATAACTTCTGTAGAGCTTCCTGACGAAGATGCATTCTTCTCCCAACAAAAGAGAGATAAAAAGTGGACTTGCATATGTTTTCCATTCGAGGAGGTTCTGCATTCAACACCCCTGCGATACCTTCAAGATTGCACAATGTCAACAACAAAGTAAAATGGGCATCTTACCAGAAGAGAAGCTGAAATCTACTTGGAATGATGCCCAAAACCAAGTAGGAGGATTCCCTACCAAAATGAAAAGATGATGTCTGACATTTTGAGATCGACCATTGTTTATATGACAAGAAGGAGTTAAAGTTGTACCAAGGAAACTGTGGGTTTTCATGCCCGATGTGACTAGGAATTGTATCTCTTCTTTTCTAAGCTCAACAGCATGTGGGAATATAAAAATAAAAAAATATCTACAAGTATAACAAGTTGTCTTGGGGGGGGGGGGGGGCTTACGTGGTTTTTTTTATAGAAAGTTCAATGAAAATATGTTGATAAAAGATCAGTGTTTCCATCACCTGGTACATTTCGACACCATATGGAGGCGAGTATATATGCGAACATGTTCATAATGTACCTTTTTTTTCATTTAATTCAGAATAATTTTTGAACAAGCCTTCTGATACATTTTAAAACATGACTAAACAGTTTTGTAAAACACTTTTTTTTGTTATGCTATGATTTTGGAGACCTTTTACTGTGAATTTGGGTTTTCTAATTTGCCTGATGACAACACACATCAGTGTCCCCCTTTGCGTTTCACCGACCTTGGGCAATTTTTGAGTGATATATCGTGCTTTGATCACATACCAAACGGCATGGTTTCATGGATACTGATCAAAGATATTGATTTGGGAGACTACCAACATACATGTGGATCAGTCTATACATTCAGGGTCCAAAGTGTGACATTTTTTTCTGTCCCTGTTACCTTGGTACTTCGTAATTTTCCATTTAAGTATCAGTAAGAATGACTTCAAATTAGTTGTATTGTTTGGGTAGGTAGTTTGCTAATCATAATCACTCTTGGAGGATGACTGCATTAAGGAGTGCATCAGAATTATAAAATCATAGATGTAACGGACAGGGAAAAAGTGGACCCCAAATTTATAAAACGAGCTATATAAATGGCTGGCTAACTGAGTGAAGGTACTAGTGCGGGTAGTCCAAAGGTTGTAGGTTTGAACCCCCTCTACAATCAAATCTGTAACTTTTCAGGCAAATTGATATTGGTTAGAGAACGGCAAATTGATGGCAGTTGCAGATGTAATAACCGTCTTGCCCTCGAGTCACTTGTGCGTATTCCCTTGTGGAAAATTCACCATTTCGTGTGAAAATGTAATTATTAATACTTGTCAAAATGTTAGAGGCCTGATATATTTCGTCTTTAGCAAAAACTTCCTCAGAAGTCTTTGCTAAAGACGAAATATATCAGGCCTCTCTAACTTTTTGATTTGTATAGGTAAGGTCAATCCAGTCAGTGAGCAGTTGCAGCAGCTTAATTATTTTTCATATTAATACTTGTGATATTTCTCCTCTAAATATGGAATATGGAGGCTCCTTTGCAGTCAGTGAGGTGATTACATTAACACTTAAAATTGGAATTGCTTTATATCTTCTTTCACTACATGTGTATGTATTTTGTAATGTTTGATTTTGTAAATTGATAAAGCTTTTTTGTAAAATAAATTGAAACTCAGTCTGACACGTGATGTAATGTGTATTTACTCATTGAGTGTGTGGTCTTTATTGTTTTGGTTGAATTGGTCACTGTTCAATATTTCTAATTGCCCCCTTTTTTGTTATAAACGATACAGAAAATGTCTATCCTTTGTTTAACCCTAAAGGGGCCTGGTTATTTTGACCATCTCTCAGCCGGGGGGGGGGGGGGCGGATTCCGCCCCCCCCCCCAAGATCTCGGCCATCGAGTGACGAAAAATTTGAAACTCGGCACATGCATAGAGCAACTCTTCCTAAACATACCCAAGAAATTTCATGACTATAGGTCAAAGGGTTTTGGAATTATGGCTAATTAATTATTCATATGTACGAATGGCAATTCTGCTCTGTGTACACGACGTATACGCGAAAATTAAGTTTTCACGGCGCGTAGCGCCGAAAAATTTTTCGCTACGCGGCAACCCGTGGTCCGATTTTTATGTTTTTGGTATCAAAAGATGCGCAAAGCTCGAGGCTAAAAAGTCATAACAGCTCGGATCGCGAAAAAAATTTTTTTAGAGGCTATCACGGAAAATGTTGAGGGGGAGGGCGGATTCCGCCCCCCGGCCCCTTTAGGGTTAAACTAGATGACGTTCTTCATAGTCAATTGATTGGCTCGTTAAATGGTATCTAACCAATGTCAAACAATATACAATGCACGTTTATTAACCATTCATAAATACCTCGGACAGTTAAGCCATTCCTATTGGTCGAGAGCCCGTCACGTGGCCTGTTTTAAACGGATGATAAAGACTGACTGCACATAGGGGTACTACTGGCAATGATGCGCTATATCTTGAAGTTTCTCCGCAACTACTGGGTTTCAAAAACTGTCCTTTTGCCAGCTTGTTGGCCTCATCACAAGCTTCCGAACAAGGTATAGTTTGTGCAGAACTTCCCAGGTTAAGGTACCTTTAGACCGTGATATACGAAGTTCGTGTCGCGGGCGCTTGCAGGCATTGCTGCTAGACTAACTGCACATAGGGGTACTACTGGCATTGATGCGCTATATATGTTAAATTTTCTCCGCAACTACTGGGTTTCAAGACTTGTCCTATTACCAGCTTGTTTGCCTCAATACACGCTTCCGAACAAGGTATAGTTTGTGCAAAACTTCTCAGGTTAAGGTACCTTTAGACTGCGATATACGAAGTTCGTGTCGCGGGCGCTTGCAGGCATTGCTGTTAGACTAACCGCACATACGGGTACTACTGGCATTGATGCGCTATATATATCTTAAATTTTCTCCGTAACTACTGGGTTTCAAAAACTGTCCTTTTGCCAGCTTGTTGGCCTCATCACAAGCTTCCGAACAAGGTATAGTTTGTGCAGAACTTCCCAGGTTAAGGTACCTTTAGACCGCGATATACGAAGTTCGTGTCGCGGGCGCTTGCAGGCATTGCTGTTAGACTAACCGCACATAGGGGTACTACTGGCATTTATGCGCTATTTCTCAAATTATCTCCGCAACTACTGGGTTTCAAGACTTGTCCTATTACCAGCTTGTTTGCCTCAATACATGCTTCCGAACAAGGTATAGTTTGTGCAAAACTTCCCAGGTTTAGGTACCTTTAGACCGCGATATACGAAGTTCGTGTCGCGGGCGCTTGCAGGCATTGCTGTTAGACTAACTGCACATAGGGGTACTACTGGCATTGATGCGCTATATATATCTTAAATTTTCTCCGCAACTACTGGGTTTCAAGACTTGTCCTTTTACCAGCTTGTTTGCCTCAATACACGCTTCCGAACAAGGTATAGTTTGTGCAAAACTTCCCAGGTTTAGGTACCTTTAGACCGCGATATACGAAGTTCGTGTCGCGGGCGCTTGCAGGCATTGCTGTTAGACTAACCGCACATAGGGGTACTACTGGCATTGATGCGCTATATATATCTTAAATTTTCTCCGTAACTACTGGGTTTCAAAACCTGTCCTTTTGCCAGCTTGTTGGCCTCATCACAAGCTTCCGAACAAGGTATAGTTTGTGCAGAACTTCCCAGGTTAAGGTACCTTTAGACCGCGATATACGAAGTTCGTGTCGCGGGCGCTTGCAGGCATTGCTGTTAGACTGACTGCACATAGGGGTACTACTGGCATTTATGCGCTATTTCTCAAATTATCTCCGCAACTGCTGAGTTACAAGACTTGTCCTATTACCAGCTTGTTTGCCTCAATACACGCTTCCGAACAAGGTATAGTTTGTGCAGAACTTCCCAGGTTAAGGTACCTTTAGACCGCGATATAAGAAGTTCGTGTCGCGGGCGCTAGTAGGCTAGCTGGTCTTAAACACTTTTCCAGTGTCACATAAAATGTGGACTCCTAAAAATCCAGTGCCTCTTACCGTTTTATTGGTTGAACGTTCACAGTCCTCACGTAGGCATGCGCAACACTACCAGTGAGTCAGAATTTTATCCTTACTATAATTCCAGGAATCTCTGTCTGTCTGTCTGTCTGTCTGTCTGTCTGTCTGTCTGTCCATCGATTATCTCCAGAACTGGGCACCGTATGAAGTTGAAAATCGGCGGGTATATTGTTCGGGACCACATAATGTGCAGTGCCAAGTTTGAAGTGGTTTGGACCAGCGGTTCTCGAAAAAGCTGCAAAAAAGCAATGTGGCAGATTACAGTACCTAGAACACGCGCAGTCCTTTTTAATTGTTTACGTCATGTAAAGCTAAAGCGTGCGTGCTCAATACGGACGCAAACAATGCAAAGAGAACGGGCACGCACTCTTGATGCACTGAGCTAAAGTGCGCGTGCTTAGGCTAATATGACGCAACAATGGAAAAAGGATGGGCACACGCATTGTAGGGCAATTATTATTCAGAGTATTTCTGGACTCACGTACGTGAGTAGCTGCACGGGCGTATGGGTGGATATCAGTGCAGGGGATGGCCTGGCGACATGTACAAAGTGCGCTCAACCTATGAGTGTGAGTTTAACCTGTGAAAACAACACAATTAATCGTGTGCGTTGTTTGCATGATATGAGCATTTTGAAATTGCCCAGGCGGAAAGGTGCATTTTTTTGACGGGCCCTGCACTTGTAGTTCTAAATTCAAAACGCAACGCACCAGGTGCGTTCTGCGCGACATTGTACAGAACGTGCCACACGCGCGTCAATCTCCATAAAAGGGTTGTTTACATCTTAATCGCCAGCTGAACACTCCATTATTTAGCTAGAGGGATGTTTCAAAAAGCATGAAGTGAACTTGTTGAACTAAACACAGTTGAAATAAACTTCAATTTCAATACGAAATTTGTGACAAAAGGAATTTCTCTCTTCCAAACTACCCCTTCACGAATTCTTTGACCGAAATATTATATTTTTTTGACCGAAAAGGTATTTATGAATGGGAATATATATGTGCTAGGTCGGTATTAATCACTCTGTTTAAGACCGCTTAGAGTCTGGGTGTTGATAATTACCCTCGCCTCCGGCTCGGGTAATTATCAGCACCCAGACTCTAAGCGGTCTTAACACGTTGACTGCCGCGCGTAATTTCACGGGGTGTGCCCATTTACCAAGCGTTGTACGCATGCGCGCATACTTAATAGGCCCTTTTTCGGTGACTATATGTTGTAGTGCATTCATTTCTAGTCACTCTATGTGGAAAAAAATATCTACGAGACAACTCGTAGGCTGGCAAAGGCATAGTATACAAATATTGAATGCTTCGAGTGGTGTAGTAGAACTAGCCTCCCGAGGTGATCCATGGACTTTCTATTTTCCCGAGGCGAAGCCGAGGGAAAATAGAATGGTCCATGGATCACCGAGGGAGGCTAGTTTTACTTCACCACGAGATAAAGCATTCAATATTTGTTTTATAACACTTCACCCACAAATTCTGCTTGATTTTAGTATTTTAAATTATTTAAATCTGAACACAGTTGATATAAACTTCAATTTCAATACAAAATTTGTGAGAAATGTATTTCTCTCTTCCAAACTACCCCTTCACGAAATGTTTGAACCCAAGTCTGCGGCGCGCTCTCTTTGGAACAATACGTGCTACGCGCAACGCACAACGCGCACACCAGCATGCATTTGCACACAAATAGCGCCCCGTGCAAATAGTACTTTGGTTGCTAGTGGTATAGTACTTTGGTTGCTACGGGTATAGTACTTTTGGCCGTGCACAGAAAGATAGTAAAATTAGAAAGTAACATGTGACTCGCTCTCGGCCAATCAAGACACAGAATCTGTGGGTGAGGCGTTATAAAATTGATTATTCCGGTTTGCCAGCTACGACTACGAGTTATCTCGTGCCGCGTCACTACGAGATAACTCGTAGGTTGGCAATGGGGTAACAAACTTCTTTGCTTCTCCTTGACAGTTATGCAATATATATGGCATTCTGCGAAATGTTTCACTGTCGTTGACATTGGATTGCATGTTACATGAACTGAGCCATCCTAGCCACATTCATTATTACAAAATGGCGCAGCTCAGTGCGGACAGAGTGGCATATCTCACAGTGATGTAGTGCCTTGATGCTGGGCCTTGGCCTTAAGGCTGCCTTAAGGCTGGATTTTAGGGCCTTGGCCTTGGCCTCGAGGCTTGAGGGCAAAAGCCGTAATTGGCCTTGAGGGTTCAGGGCCTTGCAATTATGAGTCAAGGCTCTTTCAAGGCCCATAGAATTTTGCATTTTCCAGATAAATCTGTTCGAAATTTTGCTGTTACCATTTTAATTGTATTACCATGGAGGAGGGAAGCACCCTATAGATTTGTGTGTTGGGCACACTTCCACTTTTGTAGCATCACATTTTGTTACCATTGTAGTAGATTTGCTGCAAAAATATTCCGTACACTTTTGGGGCTAAGGAGATGATCACTTTAATTGCATATAACTATGGAATAGATCTGATTGGCTGTATATGTCTCCCTGATAAGTGCTAGAGATTTGCATGTATCTGTTTTAGATAATGCTGATATTTCTGACCATGTTGGGCCAGCAAATAAAAATTTCCCAAATCAGTTTCTTGGATCCCCCTTTTGTTACACTTGGGAGAATTGTGTGTCAATATAGAAGTAAATCATTATTTTGTTTAGTTAAACCATATTGAAGACCTGAACTTATACTTTAATAGATACAGTGCAGTCATAAAACGGTGTAGGCCTATGCGAGCATGTTGATTGCAATTAAAGAAATGTTGTTCTTCATAACGAGCAATTCGTGATGATAAGGGTGGATCCAGGGGGGCCAAAAGGGGCCATGCCCCCCCCCCCCCATTTTTTTTAATGTGACGTCGTAATAAAGGCAGGCAATGAGTACACCACCATCTTTTCCTAAAAAAACATCGGTTAAAATGGCCAGAAATTGCCTCAAATCGCACCACAGAGCATCTCGAATCCAAAAATTTTCGGGGCCCTTAAGCGGGCCCCGAAGCCCAAGCCGTGATATTTTGACCCACTTTTTTGGGGGGGGACCAAAATTTCTTTGGCCTCCCCCCAAAAAAATTGTGTTCTGGATCCGCCCTTGCGTGATGATGTGTCACTCATGTGACTATAATTAGTTCTATATCAGTGGTCATTTCATAAAACAGGGCCTTGGCCTTGGCCTTGAGGGTTAAGCCTTGGCCTTTGCCTCGAGGCTTGAGGGTCAAAGCCTTGGCCTTGGCCTTGAGGGTCAAAGCCTTTGCTCCAACACTGATATCTCATGATGAATTCTGACAGCGCTAGCGATGATGATGATATGAATTCTGTTGCCGAATCTGACGGAAATGAAACTTCAGAAATGCCCACGAATGACAGTGATTCGGATGAATCACAAACTGGTGAAAGTAGGGATTCTTTGCCTGATGGAAGAAGCGATCCAGTGATTTCTTCGGACATTTCGAGTGGCATCATACAATCAGAAATCAGAACTGTCAAGAAATATAAGAAATTAATCAAACTGATTTTGGGCGGGGGCGAATGGATAAGTTGTTCTCATTGTTATTTATGTGTGTGTTTTTTTTGGGGGGGGGGGGCCCTTCATTTTTCACTTTCATTTTCTGAAAAAGGGCAAAATGTCCCCAGAGGCAAGGCAAGTTGCCCTCCTGCCCACCCCCCCCCCCCACACACCCCCAGGCGGATAGACCAATGTGATCAAACCTTTTTGAAAAGCCACAAGTCTAAATGCAAAGTATTGGCTGTATAAGAATTTCTTTTGCACTCTTGATTGAAAATAATGTACACAAGGTGGCACACGACATTTCAAATGTTGCCAATTTCTGATTTTATTTCTACCAGAAAAAAACACGAAAACAAATTATGTTGACATAAACATTTTATAGATGTATGTCCTCAGCATTGCCAGCAGCGTTTTTGTTGCGTTATCAGTGATGCCAGTGTATTCAATTTACAATACAAAAACCTTCCGTTTTCTACGAGTATACTCGTAGTGGCAAAATTCGGTACACCTGTGACTACGAGTATACTCTAGTCGGCAGTCAACGTGTTAAACAGAGTGATTAAAATCTCTCGAGCACACATTTATTCCCTTAATATAAGACTAAGGCTGTGTCTGAATTACTTGGCTGTGGCTGGATATGACACATTGCTCTATGGGAAGTGGCTGTAGCCAAGTACTTCAGGTACGGCCTATGGGGGATCTAGTATTGTCAAATTAATATGTAGTTCTTATAAAATGCTTTAATACATCCGTTCTTCAGGCCATGAGATCAGGGCCCAATTTCACAGCGCTGCTAAGCACACGATTTTCTGCTAACAAAGCCTCCATCTATTTCATGGAGACCGTAAGCATAAGCGCAGCAAAAGGCACGCTTACTTCAGAGGAAAAATTTGCTTAACTTAGTGACGTAACAATAGAAATCTCCATGCACGCGTGACTGTTAGCACGTCCACGCCGTGAAATAGTGCTAAGGGTTAGCAATTTTTTTTGCTATGCTAAACACACCTTTTCTTCTAACTGTTAAGCAGCACCGTGAAATTGGGCCCAGTCTTATATAGCAGTTTGAGATTGTTAGAGTGCACTATCCTCACAGGAATCTTTTCATCCTTGGTGGGGGGAAGGCATTGTAGTGCAGAGTCTTGCCTAAGAACACAAACACTATGATCACCATCATGAGTCAAATATAATAACCACTTGAAGATGGTTCTTTACAGTTGACTTGTTTGAGCAATTTCTGTTTGATTTTTTTCCGGTTCAAGAAATCATTTACTTCTCGACCCAGAATCAGTTTTCAGCGTAAATAAATTCAAACTAGTCTCCGTCCTCCATCATGGCCCTCTTGCGCTTCCTGTGACCAGCCACCATGTCCGAGGCGGCCATCTTGGTCATCTTCCTTGTCTCCCACTGCTGGAAGGCCATCAGACTCTGCTGTCCGGCGCGGAACAATGAGCGTTCCATCTCGTCCAGCTTGGTCATCAGTTTAGTGATGTCCTCGTTGAGTGCATTCTGTGAGTTATCCATGATGCGCCGGAACCGGCCCACAAAAGTCTGAAAGAGATTTAAGAGAAATTAAACAACAGAATTGAAATCAAACAACTAATTAACAAATTAACAAAAAGAAATTTAAATTTGAACACGAATAATCATGTTGCTGTCAGAAATAGAGGCAAATAGCGCCACCTATTGACTGATTCCCCCTATGTATGAGGTCTGTAACTTCTAACGACCTGACTGTTGACAGTCTTTTTAGTTTTATCCATTTTCTGATGAACCCCCCCCCCTTCAAATTAGTCTGCAGTGACCATGAGTGCAAGGCAAACATCAATTTTAAAAAAATACTAGTCTACTAAATATAACAATTTTTCCAAAAGAAAGATGAAGCCTAACAATGATGTGTATGGTAACACAGTTAATCATTTAACCACACCAACCTGAAGTAAAGACCTGGCGATGTCATCTGACTCTGTGCTTTCAAAACACAAGAGTTTCGTGCCAAAGGAGTAGAAGTACGGCCCCATTTTGTGAAGGTCTACCACGTTGGGATCGGCGGTGAAGATTTCGCGATAGCCCGCCCGGTAAGACTTGGGCAGCTCCACGCTGACAATCTTCCGCTTCCTGCTGCACAAACCGGTCGCCAGCCAAAACGGCAACTCCATTTTGGCACCCGGCAAAATGTGTTCACTGTCAGAACTTGAGTTCAGGAAGCCCAAATGATACATGGGCAGTTCTGTTTTGACCGGCACTTTCTCCTGTGAGGCCAGAATGTCTTCGATATTGTAATAGTTGTCGGTGCTGCTGGAAAACCGGGTATAAATTTCAGGAGCAGACGCCATCGCTGCAGATAAACCGTGCGTGTTTTGAATTTTATGGCTAGTGGCGGGAAAGTCTGGTACCCTTTACGTTCTCGTATATTACATGTATTACAAGACTAGTGTATGGGAAGAAAGCAGACTATGGCCATTACTTCAAAAGAGGGCGCCCTGACAGTTTTGTGGTGCATGATTTTTCTGGCCCAAAAAGCGGCCTGCCAGAAAAATGCACCACAAAACTGTCAGGGCGCCCTCTTTTGAAGTGATGGCCCTGTAGTCTGAAGTCTGTTAATCTGCGTTTTAAAAAGGCCCCTTCAAGGCATTTTGTGCTTAGAAAAAATGTTATAATACATGCAACTTATTTTGATTGAGCAGTTTCGTGAAACTGAGCCTTTTTCAAATGCCACAATCCCTTCCAGCAAAAATAATATGATATAAAAGTGAAAACATTTTTTGAGGGGGGGGGGGGGGCAGGGGGGGGGGGGGGTTGTTGTTGTTGAGCAGTTTCATGAAATTGAAAGCGGGTCAGGTTGGCATACCGGTTCTTTCCTCGCCATCCACCACTGTGATCCGGGTTCGATTCCTGCCTGGGCCAATATGTTGATTGGGTTTTCCTCGGAATTTTACTGGGGTTTTCCTCCGTCTAAAACTGTAATTCCTTCACATTGTCTTCTCTTTACTGGGCACCATGGGAGATCAGTGGATTCCACTGAATTGGCTACCCAGTTAAAATAAGTATTATATAAAAAAATTTTTTAAAAGGGTTAATGTGGAGCATGGACAACGATATAAACAACATTAGGAGGTAGTGAGAACAGCAGAACTTGAGAATAAACTAGGAAAAAAAATTATTTATTCGGTGATTCCTTACGCATGTAATAAGTTATGCACTTTGAAATGGGACATCACTCAAACACACAAAGAAACATTAAAGAAAAGTTTCACATTTTAATATTAGGAGCACACCCTTTTTCAAAATTGACCAGTACAATTTCACGTTGAACAGCATGCAAACAATTTCGGAGTGACTGCTTTTAAGCATTTGAACACAAGTTTTCACTGAGATTGACCAAGTGGCCAGCTTGCAAAATTCCTGACATAATCTGCCAAAACAAAATTCTTTGAAATTTTTCAGTACAAATTGTTCAGTTTAATATTTCTTGAAAACAACTGTAATCAAATGAGCCAATCAATCCATAAATAAATTATTCAACAAAGAATACATCGTCCTGATTAATTTTAAACTTAAACATTTCAATTTTAGTGAAATTTTGCCTTATTTATCATGTCAAAAATACTGGATTTCAACACAATGAATTCTTTACCTCAATCAGTGATGCGTGACGAGTAAGGTTGTGTACTATCCGCTCTCCCTCTTTTTACATAAATTTTGCGTCATTTTGAAAGAAATATTGCCACTACTGCTTACAGTCATTTTAGATAGATACATCTTACCATGACTGACAAGGATCCAGCAACTAAAGCACATCGGAGTCGCCGAAAACCCAGCTCAAAAAAAGATCTCCCGAGCCCGAATGACAGCGACCAAGATGGCGGCTATGTTGCGTCATGCGTATGCAGTGACAAGCTATCGATCATTGACGACAAGCTTGACAAGGTTCTGGCGTCAATCACTAACATCGAATCACGACTGACCTCCCTAGAGCTTAAGCACCAACAGACCCACCAGCAGGTGTCTTCAAATGCCACAGACATCGCTGAACTCAAAACATCTGTAACGTTTGTCCAGGAAAGTCATGACGCCATCAAAAAGCTGATCAACACAAAAACCGAGTACAACCTGCGGATCATCAGGAACCTCGAAGACAAGATTGATGACATCCACAATCGAAGTCGCCGTAACAACGTTGTCATCCAAGGCATTCCTGAGAGATCTGAGGCCGGATCGGAATCGTGCGAGGGCTTCGTCCATGAGCTCTTGGCCAATCATCTAAAGCTCCAGGGTGCCGACGAGATCGAGATCGACCGGGCACATCGCACGGGTCCACCACCCGGTACAGGCTCAGCTGCAGCACTCAGCTCACCACGCCCAAGACCAATTCACTGCCGGCTTCTTCGATACAGCGATCGTCAATTCATCCTAAAGAATGCAGCAAAACATCTGAAGAACAACAAGTTCAAGGGCAACAACATCTTCATAACGGACGACGTCACACCCAAAGTCAGGGCCCAACGCAAGCAGCTGAGGGAAATGCACCTGCGACGCATTCAAAGAGAGGAGCGGGTCCACTTTGCGTACATTCCTTGGTCAGTACCAGCCATGATCAGGTACAAGATCCAAGATGGCCCGTTCAGATCATTCCGTCTTGAGGGAGACGCCTGAAGTCAACAATGCATCACAATGCTCACTTACATTTAATCTTCACTGCTCTATTCATGTCCTTTGTTTTGTGTATTTATGTGTGTGTATTTGTGCCTCAGTGTGAGACAAGCCGACATCACAAGTTTATCCTGCTTATTCTGGTGAGTTATATTTCGTGCTTGATATGTTTTGATTTTGTTTTTATTAATTAACCAATAAAAATACCCTATTGAATGACTTCTGATATAGATCCAGATACAAATTTTGATATTCCCGACAAAAATTGCTATTACTACGACCAGGATGAATTCAGTGATCATTTCATTACGAACACCGATATTAAATTATTACATTTCAATGCTCGTAGCTTACGAAAAAACGTATCAAGCATTAATCAGTATATTAACTTACTACGGAAGGATTTTGCAGTTATTGGAATATCGGAAACCTGGTTAAATGATATTCATGACCCTCTAATACAAATCCCAAACTATATCATTGAGGGAACCTGTAGACAAGACAAGAGGGGTGGTGGGGTTGCACTTTATATACAAGAGGATTTGGTATATAAAGTTCGCAACGACTTATCAATTAACAATTCCGATATTGAATCATGTTTTATTGAAGTTATAAATACAGGTAAAGCGAATGTTATTATTGGAACTGTCTATAAACCCCCCTGTGTTTTAACCAACAACTTTACAGAATGCTTTAGTACTGTTTTGTCACTTATATCTAGTGAAAATAAAAAATGTTATATAATGGGTGACTATAATATCAACTTACTTGAGTATGACATTGACAATAGTGTGCAGACCTTTATGAATACTGTTCTATCTCAATCATTTTATCCAACTATTGACAAACCAACAAGGATCACTGCTGATAGTGCAACTCTAATTGATAACATTCTAACCAATGACCTTTCGAATCTTTCCTCTGGTGTTTTGATGACTGACGTCACAGACCATCTCCCCGTATTCTTAGTAACCAACAGTGTCAAAGAAAGTCCCCGAACCAGCAACAAATTCCAAAAACGTACTTTTAATGCCAGTAATGTTGAAAACTTCATTTATGATCTAAATATGATTGATTGGGATTCTGTAATATCAATAAACGATATACATCGTATGTATAATAATTTCCTATCAAATGTCCAACAACTTTATAATAAAAACTTTCCTTTACAAGATGTTAAATGCCGATACAATAAATGTAAATCCCCATGGTTATCTGATGGTATTTACATTTCTATCAGACGAAAAAATCATTTGTACCGAAAATTTACGAGGAACCCGACTGCGACTAATAAATCTGTTTATACTCTGTATAAAAACAAATTGAATTCTTTAATCAAATTAGCCAAAAAAGAATATTTATACACAAAATTTAGCGAAGTGCAAGGTAATATCAAGGGTACTTGGAAAGTTATTAATTCATTACTTAACAAGCGCAAGCAAAACGTAAACACATCTTACTTCTTTCAGGATGGTAACGAAATTAACAATGACAAGGAAATTGCAGAAGCATTTAACGACTACTTTGTTAACATCGGCAGTAGCCTCTCCAGTGAACTCCCGTTATGTAACACTTCCTTTGATTCATTTCTAAGCAACAAATGTCCAAATTCACTGTTTCTTACACCTATTACCAAGGAAGAGGTTGTTGACTATCTTAACAAAATACCTTCTGGGAAGGCCCCTGGATTTGATGGTTTAAGTTCTTCTGTCATCAAACAAGCACGGTATTCTTTAGCTAAGCCCTTGTCTGACATCTTTAACAAGTGTTTGACAGCTGGAGTCTTTCCCGATGATCTAAAAATAGCCCAAGTAACACCGATATATAAAAAAGGTTGTAAGCATAACATTACCAACTATAGACCCATATCAGTCCTATCTACATTTTCAAAACTATTTGAAAAGCTTATTTACAAACGATTAGTATCTTTTATCACTAAAAATAATATTCTTTCTGAGTCTCAATTTGGATTTAGACAAAATCGTTCAACTGAATTAGCGATATCATATGTAGTTAATAAATTATGTAATGCAATTGATCAAAATAATTTCTCCATAGGCATTTTCTTAGACTTGTCAAAAGCATTTGATACTGTAAATCACGATATTCTTATAAGTAAATTAGATCATTATGGAGTGCGGGGAACAGCTTTGGACCTTCTGAAAAGCTATCTGTGTAACAGAAACCAGTATGTATCGTTTCAATCTGTAACTTCAACTAGCCGATTCATTACGTGCGGGGTACCTCAGGGTTCCGTATTGGGTCCTCTACTATTTCTTCTTTATATTAATGATATATGTAATACTTCAGACACTGTAACATTTTGTTTATTTGCAGATGATACAAGTTTGTTGTACACTCACGATAATGTAGATGAAGCAATTAGTAACCTAAATATGGAACTTGAAAAGATCAGTACATGGCTTCTCGCAAATAAATTATCTATTAATGTTGTCAAGTCAAATTATATGATTTTTTGTGCCAATCAGTACAAGTACACACAATCTGTTCCTCTGAATTTAAATAACTCAAGGCTTAATCAGGTTAAGATAACTAAATTCCTGGGTGTAACTATTGATGAAAATCTCACTTGGAAACATCATATTGATGAAGTAGCGACAAAAATATCAAAGAACGTTGGAATAATGAATCGTTTGAAATATTATCTTCCGAGTAAGATTTTATTAACATTGTATAATTCATTTGTTTTACCATATTTAAATTACTCAATCTTGACCTGGGGCAGTTTGCCATCTAAGTGTAACAAATTACTTACTTTACAGAAGCGAGCAGTTCGTTTAATTTCAAATGCTGGCTATCGTGATCATTCTGCTCCGTTATTTGCTAAATTAAATATATTACAATGTAATGACTTATATTACCTTAATTTAGGAAAATTAATGTTTAAATTTAAGCATAATCTACTCCCGTCCTGTTTGGATTCTTGTTTTACCTTAGCATCTAATGTTCATGTATATAACACCCGAAGTAGTGCTAAGGGAAATCTGTTTGTCCAATTTAATAGGACGTCAATGTCAAAAAACAGTGTGGTTCATCAAGGCACCTTGTACTGGAATAGTTTAGATGATTCTCTTAAACTGTTACCCTCACTATCTGTCTTTGTCAAAAAATTAAAAAATCATTATATCGAATCATATTCATAAATTGAAATGTTATATGTGCATTAATATTTAGGCCTTGTCTCACACACTTGTCCTGTCTGTCTACCGTTGTGTTTTGTTTGTCCCTTATTACAGTACTTTGGTTGTATGTCTGTCCATAGGTAAGGGCACAAAAGCGTCTGCTTAACCTTATACCTAACTGTTGTCATTTAATATTACACTTATTAGTAATCACTGTGTACATAACTGTCATATATATTACTATTGACCTTTCTTAATTTATACATGATTGTACATAATTGTAATGAATGACATCATTGAAATAAATGTTTCCAAACTTACATTGCCCAACTCCATAAAAACAACGTTTTTTTTATGTGCAAAAGGGGAATTGGGATGATTTTCTCGCTACAGTACCTACAGTCTAAAATCTGTAAATTATTTGCATATCTGTGCAACGATTTACATAAACATAATACTGACAGTTTTTATAAATTTTGAGCTTTACACCTCTGTTAATGCCTACCAGATGAAAGTATCTAGAAGAAACATTTAATAAACTTCTACACTAATTGGACACTGCATAAATATTCAAATGAACTATGTATTCCATTAATTGGATTTCTGCAAAATAAAAATTACTCTGGCTAAAACTTTTTCCTTTTGTTCTGCAACCAGAGTAGAAGAGGCAGTAGTGATTCCTTCTTGAGACAGTTCTTGTGGAAGACGTCAAAGTTGACCTTCTGAAGTCGTCTGAGGTAGGCCTCGACAGCCGCAGTGACCAGGAAGGCAGGTAGGGCTTCTCTGGGTACACTGGCCTTGAAGGATCGCGCCTGCATAGGGGTAAGAAAGGAACAATTAGAGTGCTTATGGGCTTCATTATTTAGAAAGATGATCTTTTTAGCAATTTCTCTGTAAATGTCTAATTACAGTAAAAAACACAAAATAAATACCCTTTTTTTCCAGTTGCTCTAAAATTTCAATTGAATAAAAAGAAGAAATTAGAGTGAAATAGTTTTCTCCTTTTTCTTGGGGGGGGGGAGCTCAAGTCCCACCTCTGAGCCCATTGAAAGGGGTTGGTTGACCACTCCCCCCCCAAAAAAAACCCACAAAAACAAAAAACAAACAAAACCGTTGCTAGCTCAGTTAACCATTTATCTTTTACATCGAAGGTGTTATTAATACTCATAGTTGAATTTTACCTCTGGTGAGTGCTGGTACAAAGAATCATTGAATAATTCACATAGCTTAGGGTGAAAAAAACTGAAAATACAAATACATTTCCGAACTGTAGATCTCTTTTTTACAAGTCCTCTGTGACCTCTTTGTGACCTCTTGAGTGTAAGGAGAGGAGCATATATCGCTACTGGTTCACAGCCCATGCTCCTATACATCCCTACACCCCTATCAAATCTTAAACACTCCCCAAGAACCAGTTCCTCTACCATCTTGTATTCTGAGAAGTCTCTAGCAGATGAAATGACTCTTTGCCAAAACAAGTCAAATTTCAACTCACAGTCTCTAGGTGGACATGAGCAATGCTAGCAATGTCATAGATCACATCCTTCACAGGTTGCTCTGCATTCCCTCGTAGTATGGCCTCATGGGACACATTGTGCTGGGTAACAAATAATTACAAATGAAAAAAATAAGGCAACAGCAGGCAAAACTTTGCAAACAGATAAATGTGCAGTTAAATATCTGATAAGCTCTGCTACATTTCTCCAGTGTCCTTCTTAGCTCCCCGTCTTCCAAAATCCACCCGATTCAAACAATTAAAACCAAAGTTTAAGGTTTTTCTTGCCGGTCCCAAAGGACCAGCCTGTGTCCTTTTTTTTACCTATTTGAATTTGACTGACTGACTGACTGACCGACAGTCACTTGTGAGCCGGGGAGTGCTATCATATAGGATTACCCCATTATGCCAATGAATTGGCTAAATCCGGCCCATTTTGCAGACCAGACGCATGAAAAGACTTCCAGTGAATAGCCATTCTGAATCAATTGAATAGAATTTTGTGCCGATCTGGGACCAGGTTTTCTAGGCTTGCCTTGTCCAAGTTTAAATCAGGTTTTCAAAATATACTTCTCTTTTCTTAACTAATCGCTGCTCCCCCGATACATCAGTAACCCCCTGACCAAAGGTAAGACTTCTTTTTACCTTAATTGTAACATCCAAGGGTAACAATATCTGTCTCCTGCTGACATGATACGGCGTGGCCCTCAGTAATGTGACGATACCCTGTGCCTTGCCGATATGGCTGGCCGCGTGGTCTGCATTCACATCTTTTACTCCTGAAATTAAAAAAAGACAGCATGAGTACACTAAATATTCTCACAATTGTCAATTTTTGGAAAACACTTGTTATAGTTTTGAGTTTGGGGTTCACACTACTTTTTCATTGTTGACAGTTTATTCCATGTGTGAATACTCGTGAATTTGAAGAAATTGCAACAAAGTTTATTTTTGCTGTCTTTTCAGTGGCACTAACGGCAACTTCAAAACCATCTCGCTTTCTCATTCTTGAGAGGAACTTTTTGGGGGGCAATTCAAGCCCATTTTACTAGCTCTTGCACTTGACAAAATAATCAAATGGCTGACTTTTTGGACCTTTTTCGGGGGGGGGGGGGAGGGTTGGGGTGGGGGAGGTGATCCATGTTTTCACTGCAATGATATTCTACTGTCAGTACCTTTTAAGTTAAGCAGGGACAAATACTGGTGTTGAGGAGAGGGCAAGACAATTACAATTACCGGCATGCTTTGTCTTTGCGATGCCTTTTGATTCCGAGGCAAACCCTTTTTTATTGGCAAGTTCTTCCCTAAAGCTCCTCTTTCAATTAATGTTGGAGTGCATTAACATTAACGTTTATCCATCTTAAAAAACCCAGATTTCTCATCATCTTTCATGTTGATTCTCTACTGCAATATCAATAGAAGACATTTATTTCAGTTCCAATTACCCAAAGCCTCCAATGTAAGGTACAGTAAGGAGGAGGATGTGTTTTCAGCATATGTTTCTAGCTCCTCCACACTCTGATAGGGCTTGGCATCAAGCGTCTCAGCCTAAAAATTAGGCAAAAAATAAATATCAATTTGGCCAAAATTAGTTACAAAGATGCTGATGGAGTTCAATGCAAACAAACCATGAAAATACATATATTATGACCGAAACCTAAAAAATGTACCTTTAATTGGACACAATTTTTCAACCACAAACACATGACCACTTTTCTCCTGGTTCAAACAAATATAACATGTAATTTGGTCAACAATGGCCAAAAATTATAACTTTAAAAAAAACCATGAATCTTGTTTTACTTTACAGACAAAATCGGCAAAAAAGAAAGATGCCTTCAAAACCAAAAGCTATCAATCAATAGTTGCAACACTGTTGAGACTCGACTTCAACCATACACATACTAACTCTAGCTTCAATAATTCTTGTCAGCCATCTTTTAGATAGTTTATGCCGGTGCACAACTCTGGACAGCTCCATGGCAACAGGCTGCTGTGGCGGTGCTCCCTACAATCCAAAAACATTTATGAATATAAATACTTATACATGTAAATACTAATGAATGCCCCATCAAACTACACTTGAAGCATTTGCAAACTGTTGTGCAAATTTTGTGAAGGGTAGGTTAAGGGCCATGTACAACTCAACAACAGTAATGAACTGTTTATATACATAACAGCTGGTAAATGATAATATTCTGGGGTTCAATTTCTGAAAAATAGTCTTGAGGTACCTTTTATTCTGTGGGAGCTTACCTCATATTGAGTTCCAGGTCAAATTTATTCTACCCCTGATTTTATTTTAACAGAAAATGAAGGTTAACCAATGCAAAGGATATTATAGAACATGCTGGCTTACAGAGAGCAAATATTACATTAATATGAAACATCTTATCCGATAAATGAAACTATTTTCCAATTTGGTTTAAATATAGTGTGCCATTCTGTATTTGCATATTAAAACTGCATAAACAAATATTGCATACATTTGTATGCATTCATTTAGGTATTTAATGTTAAACCCCAACGGTTAGAAATGTGTTACACAGCTTTGTGGTAAAGTTTCTGTGGCAGGGAATGAATGCCAACACCCACTATTTAAAATGTACCAAATAGTCTGAATTTTATCTGTCAAATGGTCCAAACATTTATTGACAACTTGTACATGTAGTAGCAGTACTTAGCTTCCAAAATCAACAGCAATAACAACTTGCAAAATTGCCTTGGTCTTAAGTTTTGCCACATATCATACAAAACAATTTGAGACCTCATAAATTTTGGCAATGGCGTCCTTCCAGAACTGCAGCCTCATGAGTCCAATGTGCTTCTCTGTCACGTTGTCGTTGATGGAGGCCGTCTCCACGTTGAAGGCTCGGAGGGCAAACGCTGAGGCCCTGGCTGACTGAGGTAGAAGGAGGGCAGAGAGAAAACTCTCATAGTCACTCTTCCTATGACAGGATATCACAGGAAAGAAAGTATGCAATATTTATAGTTGAAATAAAAAAATGAATTAGATTAATAAATGGGATGAACATGAGAAAAGTCAATAATGAAGCGTAGCTGTGCCCCAATCCTATTCCAGAGTGGGAATTTAATTAACTTAATTTACTTGACTCACCTAAGTATTTAGTGATGATGAAAAACAAAGAAAATGTTGTGGAAAGAGGGCAGGGTTTTGATTTTTTTTGGGGGGGGTGGGGGTTTGGGGAATTGTGCACAAAAACCTAATTTGGGAAATTTGGGTGAGAAAAAAACGCATTTTTTAAACACTGTTCAAATTTCTAAGAAACTACAGTTTTTTAATTTAAAGGAGATTGCTTTCAATTGTTGAAGTCATTTGAGCTGATAAAATCATATAAAGTTCATGTCTATGACTTAGTATGAGTATGAATATGATCAAGATGGCAATGTAAAATTAGCCTAGATTCTATTTCATTTGTGAACCAATCTGATTCCGAAAAACAAATTTTATTGATGAAAAGAACTATTTGTTATTATTTAGCCTGTCATCAGTCAGCCAACATTTCTCTGATGACCCCCCCCCCCCCAACCTCCTCCCCCTCCCCCCCCCCCCCCCCCCCCCCCCCCCCCCGACCTCAATGACCGGCCACGGCGGTCATTGGCGATAGGCAAATCATGCAAGAAAATGATCTTTCGGGATGTTTGGCGCTACCTACCGAACTAAATCCATACAGTATTGAGAAGTATCTGTTGATGCTGATTTCCGCTGAAGTTTTATTACTTTTGGGCACCTGTTGAAATGCCTTTTGAATAAAATTGTTTTGGCGCACGATTTCGCATGACTTCTCATGGGAGCTGCCATCTTGAATATTTTGTAAGCAGTCGTCTAGGCATACATAACTTCCAACGGCTGTTTCGCGTAAAAGAATTGCAACCAAAAGGGGATCACGCACTGCCGGCGTGAGCTAGTGGTGCGTGAAGCTCATCACGTACCGTACTAGTATGGTGACCTGATTGACCTGCGTAAAATCTCGTAGCTTTAATCAGGTTGGAGTCTGGGTACGTTCACGCCATCCTCCTCCTTTTGCTGGTACTGTCTCCTAACAAACGGCATTTTTTTTGCAAATTTTGCAGATTAGAAGCAAATTTGAGAGCAAAATGGCATTGAGAATCCCGGTTAAAAACCTTCTTGTACTGAAGGAACAATGCACAAGATCTTTTGCTACGTCAATTGTCTCCAAAACAAGGTAAAAAAAGAGTTGCAAATTTTGTCAAGTCGCCCCTCACCGCGAGTAGGCCTACCGCGTTTATTGTGTATTATTTATTGTATGGACAAACTCGCCCCCTCTTATATGATCATGTAGTCTGCTAATGCTGCTAATTGCTATTGCTAAGTTGAACTTCAGAAATCTGTTTTCTCTTTAAAAAATAATAATAATGGCGATCGTGTTGTTACGGGCCCCTCTTTAGTTTTGTTCGAATTAGTGTTTTTTATCACTCCAAGTCCAAAGTGACTTTTTAAAACTCAAAACTTTCTAAATTAAACTAAGAAGGAGTGAAGCAGACTTCTCTTTGTTTTCTAAATATGACATCTTTTTTAGTACTTTTGAACATTTTCGTACACGTTTTCGGTTGGTGCCATGCGAATCAACGTGGTTTCGCTTTTTCACTGTGCGTTGCAGTGATCACCATCTTTATTTTTGTGTTGCGTTTTTGTTGTCTTCATCGTCACTTTTTTAGGGTACCCAAAATTTCCCTCGTAAGAGTAAAACCCTGCCCGCTATCCACGGAATACCTGTTTTTAGGTTATTTGACTTACCAAACAAGTTAGCAACATTACAAACAACTTGTTCCCTTACTACTACTACTAGCCTAGGATTAGGGCTCTACACTACACATATGCCGAAGTGGCATCATGATTTTATAATCTTTTTGAAAAATGTTTTGTTATGTTTGACACTTGGTTTCACCATGTTCACCTTCAACTTGCATTTTTTTTTATCATTTGCATTGCAAACTAGGGCCTACCCACTTGTATTTTTTTTTTCATTTAAAGTTGATGTCTGAGTTACGAGTTATATATACACATCTGCCTTCCCCATTCCAAATGAGTTATCAAAAAAATTCAAATGTTGCAGCTGGTGGTCGAATGTGGAGATGGGACCCCTGACCCCATCCTTGGGGTCACGGAGGCATTCAAGCGTGACTCTAACCCCAACAAGATGAACCTGGGCGTTGGAGCGTACAGAGATGATGAAGGCAAACCATATGTTCTGCCAACAGTGAGAAAGGTGAGTCTTAAGACTCATCCAGCTAGAAGAATTGGATGGCATTGCTGAGGTGCCACCAAGCACTATGCTTGTACATAGGTTGTCCATCCACATACACTAGTGGGGGGGGGGGGGGGACTTGCAGTTTGAAATCCAGTTCCAGTCAGTTTTTTTTATGAATCAAAGTTACATTGAAACTCCCTATAGGCCTTTTTGCTGGGATGTAGCCTCAATCCTGCAAAATCTTCCAATTGGCCTCGTGGGAAAAAAGCATATAGCCTCAATCCTGCAAATCCCTCCATTATTTTCTTGAATATGGTCCATGGAGGGGTGACCACTGCCTGAATCCTGCAAAATGCCGCGGCAGTGACTATCAATATGTTGAGGCCTGGCCAGTGACATCCTGGAGCAGCACGGAGGATTCCAATAATAATCCAGGCCTATACTTTTGCATGGCTGAGCAAAAACAACACAAGGTCTGGCCCAAGACCTTGACAAAGTGCATCCTACGAAATCAGTAATGCAGTTTTGCCATGTAATCTCAATCCTCCAAATTCTTCCACTTTGTCAAAGAGGATTTTGAAGGATTCAGGGCGGTTAGGGTTAAAGTGAATGTTGTCAGTTTCCATTTGTGGGAATTTTTTGGTTGATGGTCATTCATGTTATGTGCAAACTTTAAAGCAAACTTTTGTTATCTGAAGTTGGCGTGAACCTACAGCAGTGTTAACCAACTTTACCCATTCTTAACGATAGACCTGAGGTTTATCAACAATAGATGCATTGTATTCTGACCAACTCTGGAATGTTTCTTGTGATGAAGTCATCAACATTGTTTATAATCTGATAAATTTAGTGTTTGAAGATTCGTGGGAGGTTTTTAAAAATCCTGCAACAAATACTTGATACATGTTATTGCGGATAAACTTTCCTGCAACTTCTCCCGGATATTTATTGAGATGACTCCTGACTGTTTCACTCATCCCTATAGGCAGAAGCCATGATAGCAGCCGGCAATATGGACCATGAGTACCTGGGCATCACTGGCCTGCCAGACTTCACTAAGGCTTCTGCCAAGCTTGCGTTTGGGGACGACAGCGAAGTCATTAGTGGTGGAAGGGTAAGGAAACTTGTTTGATTATTTGTCAAGTTGTAGGCCTATTACTTTTGTGATATTTAATATACTGGATATATTGTGTCTTGCATATTGTAATTTCATTGGTCTTAAAGTAAGACATGTCCCGTCTATAGAAAAGACTTGGTTTAAATTCCGTAGGGGCGCATAGCACCCTCGGCACCCTTCTTACAAGTGCAATATTCCACATCACAGCAGTCAATAATTGTTACATATGGCATTCCTTTTACTAGTTCTACCTGATATGAATTCCAAACACATAAACACTGACAGTTTCATTATTTAGGAAAATTGTTGACAACAGGAATGAGTAAGCATTTTTGGTCAATGATTTGGAAAAAGCTTTTTTCAAAGGCCAACAGTCATCTTGAAAAATGAATCTGGTCGCAATTTTTTGGGAAAAGGGGCTCTTTGAGACCATGAACTTCACAATTTGAGGTGCAAAAGCCAAAAAATTAAAAATAATTGCCTCCCCAAACATCCAGGGTAGTTCCTCTTCTCTTGAAAAAGTATGATTATGATTATCATTACCAACTTCTTCACTTGTTAAAATAGATTTTTTGAAACCCTGACTGCTATTTGTGACAATCAACCTACTTTCAATGAACCCATTTGCCTTACTCCACAGAATATAACCGTGCAGGGTATCTCTGGCACGGGTTCTCTACGCATCGGGGGCAACTTTCTGGCCAGGTTCTTCCCTGGCAGCAAGTCCGTCTACCTGCCTACCCCCTCCTGGGGCAATCACACACCTATATTTAGGTAAGCAAAAGTAGACAAACTAAGTAGGTTTTTTTTCTGTTTTCCATAGATTTTGAAAAGATAGAATTAAATAAAAGTTGTTTGAATAAAGAGAATATCAAATTCTGCTTGTAAGTCGGCTTTGTTTATGTCTCCAGCCCCAGATTCATTCTTACTAACCCTGCAGCATTCAAACCCATTGAAAATAAACCAGCTATTTGCCCTGTGAGACGGAATTTGGTGTCTCTATTGCAGAAAAAGGACAAAAAAATATCCGGAAACTGTCAAGTCAAGGGACTAAAATCATGAGGCCAGAGTCTGTATCCAAAGATGAAGATGAAGCCAAGATTTCGTAAACCCCTATGAATGTTTGGAATAGAGTACCGAAGTGTGACGTCATGTAGAACCAGAAAGTGTAGTGCAAACGAATGGAGTACGCGCCCATGTTGGTTCACGGTCTGAATCACGCTATAGAATTTGTGCTATATAAATTAATAAATTATTAATGTCTTTCACACATATCTTGTGCACGTGACGTATTCACTTTGGTGCTCCATACAAGCACTTGTTAAAGCAACTAATTTTATTCTATTTTTTTTATCCACAGAGATTCCGGCCTTGAAGTCAAAGGTTATAGGTACTATGACAAGAACACCTGTGGTTTTGATGCTGCTGGTGCTATGGAGGATATTTCTGTAAGACATATTTTTAAGAGTCAACACCTTTTAAACACTGTTTTGAACACTGAGGACGTTATCCGTACAAAGTTGTACTGGAGTTGGTTTTAGCCAGTACTAGGTATAAGTCTTATCATAATCCATTTTATCATAGTCTAAACTAAAATTATATAAAAAAAGCAAAGCAAAACAACAAATTTAAGTCCAGAACTTACTTTTCTGGGGCTAACATGTAGATTGTAATCACCTGGTAAAATGTTTTAAAATCCAATATTGGTTCTGTGCCGAAATTTGTTTTAAGTCAAGCATTGATTACAAACTAAATTCCCATATTTGTTTATGTTTCCTGGGACTTGGACCAAGATTCCTATTGCAATAATGTAAATGCAGTTTGCCTGTAAATGCGGAGTATATAGCTCTATATTTCAGCTGATTGTGATGAGATAATCAAAATCTCTCAAATTTACGATGCTTATTGAAATAAAGAAATAAAGAATGAACGTAATTTCAGTAGTCAAAAAGCACATTACCAAAAAAGTAACAATGAATTATGGAACTTATTATCAAGAGCTAATAATACTTTTTTTTTCACAAATCACTGTATTTGTACATGTTATCTAATATAAAATTGGAGAATTTTTTTTTTCTTTTTTTTCCCCAGAAAATCCCAGAGAAGTCTATCATCATCTTGCATGCATGTGCCCACAATCCTACCGGAGTGGACCCCAAGGTACGGTAGTCTGAGCGGTTGATTGATTTTTATTTTTTTTTATTTGGGTACATTAACCCTAACTCCCTAGCATGATTTACTAGGAACCATACCCATCCTGGCAAATTCAAACACCTATTTTGGAAACTGCACACACATATTTCTGAATTAGTTTCTGGAGGTGTGCCAACCCAATGTAAAAGCCTGTCAGTTTAGGGGTACTGTACCCATCCTGACAGATTCCAACAAAACATGCTGTTGGGGTTTGATGGGTTGAGTGCTGTTTATAGGGTTAAGGATCAGACCGTGCAGAGCCACACTACGAATGTTAGAAATTGTGACATCATTTTGATCAGAAATGTGGACTAAAGTGTGGATTGGTCAATTTGGCTGCCTTGTTTTTGTAATACAACGGGTTACGGAATGGTCAGAATCATAACAAATATCCAAATCTTTGCGAATATCGTAAATGCTTGCATGCAATTGGCTATTCCATAGACTGGCGTTAAGATTGCTTGGCCGGACAAACTCAATTTTACTTAAGAAATTGTTGTTTTTTCCCTCAAAAGTAGCCTTAGTTTTTAATTACTCAATATTTATTTAAAAATCTCTGACTGCCTTTGTGGTCAGAGATGTTACAAATTTCATGTCACTTCCAATGTACTTTGTGTTACTTTTTTTCAGCCCGAACAGTGGAAAGAATTGGGGAAAATCATCAAGGTAAGAACTGATTTTTTTCTTCTATCTTCCGGTTTAAAGTACTTTCCATGCAACTTGAATAATATGAAAAGAAATATAATTTTTGGCTGGAAAAAAATTGGATTCAGTTGGGAGGTGAGATTAAACAAACTGGGTTTTTCAAAAAAAATTCCCATTTTAGACATAAGGGCATCCCTTTTTTTCTGTAGTTCTCATATTTTCGGCAGCTTAAGTGGGGACAGTCAGCTGACAAAAAAATTTAAAATCTGAAGAAAAACAATTGCAGTTGAACCTATATAGATGGCTAAATTAAATGATGCCAAGTGTGTAGTGTCTCTAGTTTTGTTGATTGCTATGAGATCATCATGAGTTGATATCAGTGAACAAAATAATAAAGCCATCTTTGGTAGAACATCGTTGGCTAAATTTTGAATAGACCATGAATTTGTGCAATTTCCAGGAAATGTGTGCCTTAAAGCTTGGCATCTCCTACACTTTGATTTTCAGGACAGACAGTTGTTCCCATTCTTCGACATGGCCTACCAGGGCTTTGCTAGTGGGGACCCGGCCAAGGATGCCTGGGCCCTCCGACACTTCATCTCTGAGGGTCACACAGTGGCCCTGGCCCAGTCCTACGCCAAGAACATGGGTCTGTACGGCCAGCGGGTTGGTGCCTTCAGCCTGGTGTGCTCTGACGCTGACGAGGCGAAGCGATGTGAGTCACAGCTCAAGATCATCATCAGGCCCATGTATTCCAACCCACCAATGAACGGGGCTAGGATCGCCAACCTCATCATGAATACACCTGAACTCAACGCTGAATGGTAAGCTACTAGTCTGAACACAGCCTGACAAAATCTCTTATATTGAATCAAGAATCCGAGATCCACCAGTGTGTTACTGTCTGATTGACCTATGGTGTTGGGGTTATTGAAGTATGCACGTGTGTATAAACAAGCATTGCATTCTTTGTGACATTTAAATGCGCTTGAGGATTAGGTCAACCCAATTGAGGGAAGGTTTCATTGTCAAGGTGCATAGCTACCAATACATGATTTTAGAAGCTCTGCTAGCTTTGTTTGTATGAGACCAGGTCTCCTGCCTGATACATTGCAATTCGGTAAGTATACTACTCCCACAGCAATGTTTGCTTAGACATTTCCTTGGGGGATTGGGAGTTTGTCAAAGTCAAGACTGCTAACTCTTATCGTGTATAGACCCAAGCCCAATGCTGATTGATAAGTTACTCTTTACTAGGGCAGTGTATTACATCACAGTATATATACTGATCCCACTTCTACTTTTCATTTGAAAACAGCTCTCGCTTTGTGACGGTAAAAAACAGATGAGTTGTTAAATATATAAGACACTAATCCACATTAAAATAAAAAAATTACGGTCACTTGTAAACAAGCCCCTTGCCCACAGCATTATTATAACGCTTAGACCAAACACCGTGTGAAAACCTGACTTTGTAGAACGCAGAACTCTTATCATTGAAGGCCTTCCCGGGAGAATTTTCCCCAGTAAGAGGATCTTTATTACAGTCTTGCAGATAACTGGAGGGGGTTCATCAGATTCTGACAAACAGGAGGGAGTTAACCAGAATATGGCAGTTTACTTGAGAAAATTGTCATAGTCTGGCAGATTACTGGAACACAGTTGACCACTGTGTAGCAAGTTACCGTAGGGAATTGAAGTAAAACCTCAGAAATTACTGTGAGGTGGTATTAACAGAGGAGTGAAATCTCAGCTTTAAAGCTGATTTCAGCTTTTTTTGTTTCGGATTTCGGCTTTTTTCCCTCACTTGCTGTGTACAAAAGTATAGGAGATTTCCAAAGTTCAGCTTTTTTACACCTTTTTTTCAGCTGTTTTCAGCTATTTTTGTCAGTGGCCACGCACACCCCTGATTAAGATTGCCATTGATAGCGGGAGGTTGTTAAACTAGCACCGCGTTCCCACTTGATTTGGAAAAAGGTGGATCAAGATCCAGCATTTTGGTGTGATCGTTATCTTACCGCAACAAAACCGCAAGTCGCGTTCCCACTTATGCTTGATCCACCTTTTCGTACGGAAATGTTGGGTCCGAAAGGTCACTGAGTTCGGAATTACGCGCGCTCTGTGGGAGTGCCATTGTTGCATGGTTGCATGCTAGGCCAGGATGGGTCAGTTTTCAAACAGCACTATCAGAATTCACAGACAAAAATTACGCGAATTCACCAACATAAATCACGGATCCGTAGAGGATCCGTGCGTGCATACATTAAAAGGTGAAATCCAACAGTGCCGCTCATTGTGTGACATCACGACAGAAACCAATGCATCGATAAGGGATTCCCTGGTTCTGAAGCTTCTCATTGGTTAGAAACGGTCACATGATGTACTACGACATCATTTTCCAATTTTCTATAATCAATACTTCAGATTTGTCACCTCCGTACGTACCGCGCTATCGGCACTATTCTCATCGCATACTCGTAAGCTTTTCAATGATTCTGTGCCAAAGTGAAGTCTTTTGGTGAGTGCGGACTCAGAGTCATTTATGGATGGAAAAATAAGTGAAATTTCAGGAATGAAAAAGGTTTAGTAATGGACGAACACGCAACAAAAATAAGGCCTATAGTGTATTTTTGGGATACCACGTGCGCTTTTGCATGCGCGGTGCCGGTGCTAGCCCGTAGTTCAGCGGTTGTTTATTGTGCATGTTGTAAACGCTGGAAATGTTCACATGAGCTACACGCCTGAAAACGTGTTTCTTCGTTCATGAGACCGCAACATTTTCGCGCCACTCGTGCACCGGGCGGATGTTAACAGGTCAAATTGCCGGATCAGATCCACCTTTTGCGTTCCCATCTGATCGTGATCCGGCAATTGCCGGATCTGATCCACCAATTGGGGGATCTGTATCCTGGTCCAGAGGTGGATCAGAAAAGGTGGATCTGATCCTGATCCACCTTATAACGGTTAGCGTTCCCACTACACACAATTGCCGGATCTGATCCACCAATTGGGGGATCTGATCCGGCAATTTGGCAAAAGGTGGATCAGATCCCCCAATTGGTGGATCAAGTGGGAACGGGGTCTCAGTCTTTCATATAACTGGAGAAGTTTATCACAGTAGAGCCTATCACTTGCAGAGTCTACTAGCTTATTTGAATACAGAATCCAGAAGCAGCAATCAGTACTGCTTATCATAGCATTGATCTCTTGTAAGCAGTTTTAGTGTAAACTATTTTCAATAGAACCTAGTAAAACTGACCGGAAGTGTCTTAAATCGTTCAGGAAAAAGGAGTTGGAGTTGATGTCTGGGCGAATCATCTCCATGAGAACCCAACTGGTAGACAACCTGAGGAAGGAAGGTTCCAATCGGGACTGGTCGCATATCACTGACCAGATCGGCATGTTCTGCTTCACGGGACTCAAACCAGATCAGGTAGGATTGGCCATTTTCTAAATCTCAGTGCTGGTCCCAGAGGGCCAGCCAAGTGTCCTCTTTGCACCCATCTCACTGACTGACTGTCACGCTACGGGGGGTACATGTGGGGCATTTCCCCCCCCCCCCCCCAAGTTTTGTCCTTGCCCCCCCCCCCCCCCCCCCAGATTGCCCACCAAGTTTTTCCTCAACACTTTATTAACAGGTAGATTAATTATGTCTATTTTCTTCGCTGTTAAGATTCACAAAATTTGGACACATTTGGGGCCAATGAAAGCATTAAAAACATTGGTACTTAGGTAGACAAAACATGCCACACATGCATTTTTACAGCCATAGATAGTGTGCAGCCAACGTCTTTGTACATTGGTATACATTTGTTGTACACCATTCTGCGGTATGATACATTTCTCATTCATAAAAATGACTACACATGTACACTTCTATTAAAGTTGGTTGCTCTAGTGACTTTTTCCGGCCCATTGACAATGGGCACACGCGTGCACACAGGCTTAAGATTTTATTTTGACTGCCCCCCAAAAATATTTCCTTGCCCCTCCAATTGCCCCCCCCCCCCCCCATTTTAGAGTCTGGCGCCGCCACTGTTAGCTGTATGGGCCAAATCTGGACCATAGTGTAGACCAGATGCGTACTAATACTTCCAGTGAATGGGCTCCGTGCGCCAACAAAAGAGGGCGCTTTTTACCACTTTTACGAGCCCTTGGACGGGCACACAGTGTGTGCGTACTACTGGTTCGCGCATGGATTACGCATGACTAATTTACGCCGAATGTGCACAAAGCTAAGCCATAGCGTCTTCCCGCATGTGCGTCAGGCGTCGGCACGCGAAAACATTCCAATTTAGCTTGGGATGGTCTCCCAGACTAATCCCCGCCCCCAATAACTTTGGATCATTTGAAATAAGCAGTGGATGGACCGGGCACCAGTCTAGGTCACCCCCAACTCTCCTTTTCTGGCCGTGGAAGGGGTACTTGTGCACGGAGCCTATAGCCAATCTAAATCAATTGATAAGTAGTGGAATTGGTGCATATGCATATTTTTGTTTATCCTCTGTCGCTCAGGTTGAACGGATGACCAAGGATTTCTCCGTCTACCTGACTAAGGATGGTCGCATCTCAGTGGCTGGTATCTCATCCAAAAACAACGCCTACTTGGCCCACGCCATACACGAGGTCACCAAGTGAGGAGTGGGTGGATGGAGAGGTCATGACCTTTAACTGGTTTCCTGCCATCAAGATATTTACTGTTCAGTACTGGGTACCAGGCTGTCACATCACTGTCCTCATTGAGCAAGTTGGATCATGAACCATTGGTCAACTAGTGGTTGATTTGAGACGTTAAGTTTCTGCATTAAGCCTGCTGCACACCTTTCTGATTTTACCGGATCACCGCATTACCGTTATGTTTTTTTCACCGTTGCGGTTAGACCACAACGTTACCCGCACACATGCCGACTCCGTTCTATGATGGGTCACATGATGATCAGTCACATGATGACCAGTCACATGATGACAAAATGGCAGCCGTTAATTTTGAATCATGTAACTTCCTTCTTGAATCTGATTGGTTATTTGGGACATTTAAGCTAATATTTCTCATGGAAGCTCTCATACTCGAAAGTGGTTTTTCGACAAATTTGGCATTTGACATACAAAAATACCTCACAGCTAATAAGATAAAAAAATGTTCTGGACATTTTTTCATCATTTCCTCGAGACTGCTCTCGTATTTGAATCAAAGAAATGCTATTCGAATAGTTGGTTGATTGAATATTTGGTATATTCAGCATGGCCCTAAGCTATAGACCACCAGTTATGTATCCTGCATTCAGTAATATCGAACAAGGCTAACTATAGTTCTTGGTTGAACTTGCTCATTGATTGAACGGTGGAGATAGGTCAAGGAAAAGTCCGGTCTTAATCAGAGTCAGTACACCTTATAAGTGCATTATGTGCATTATATTATTATAAATTAGAGGGGCTATTACTATGTAATACATATATACGCAAGGGTGTTGAAAAGTTTTCAGAAGATTAGAAAAAAAATTATTTCAAAATAGGGGCACTAAAATAGTTGTTTATGTCATATAAAAATATTGAAGCTTGGCTTCTTGGTTTTAGTTAGATAAAATTCTCTGTGAAGTTTTGAAAATAATTGGAACAAAGATCATGTTTATGTCATGGACGTTTTCAGAAGGGAAGATGAATTTTAGCTAAAGGTATTGAGGAATAGTATTTTCTCTCTCCAAAATGTATTGCTGTGACTAGTCTAGAGACAGAATTGTGAATAAAAAAGATTTCTGAAGTCTTATATAAATACATCTGAAGCAGCTCTCAAGTTTATGTATTAGTGTAAGGCTGAAATTATTTGGGTGCCAAATCAAGTTGTATTTTAAAAATCCGATATGTACATGGATTTCTTCATAAAGAACTCAGTTGATTATTTTTGGGTTGCCGCTCAATATAACAAGTAACCAATGCAGCTGGCTTGTGTTGCACACAAGTTATAGACAAATCTGGGCACGTGAGCACTGAACACTCACGAGGCCCCCTTCAATGGAGCTAGCACAATGCTTTTGCCATTGAGGGGGGCCTCCGTGATAGTGTGCCCTGATTGGTCTATAGATTCTATTAATCTACAGATTTAAGAGAAAGTATAGATACACCTTGTGCTTTTACTGTTTGAAACAGTGTCTAAAGGTATGGCCAAAAAAAAATAATATTCGGTCTCTGGTCAGACCGAAGTTCCAGAATTAATGTGGGGACGCTTTTTTTGGGGGGGGGGGGGGCTTTTTTTTTTTCAAGCTTAGATTGTACAGACAAGGTGGGTACTATTTTGCTTTTGTTGTGTCCTCATATACATTGGGGTCCTCCATAATTTGCCTTGGTGCCCTCCATCATTTGCCTTGGTGCAATTTCCCCATTCCTTTTGAGGAAGTGCGGTAATAGAGGGTGCTGCTGTAGCTACCGTGGACAATTTGATTAAAATCGACACGTGCGCTGACCAGAGACAGACTAATTTTCTTTTTGGCCTAATGCAGACTATACTTCTGCTTCATAGAATATGAATTGATGAATACAAAATTTGAAAATGTTACAGAAAGCTATAAAATTAAACATGAGAAAATGTTATTATGTGCAAGCCAAGTGTGAAAGGTATGTAGGGAATGATTACAAAAAGTAGTTTTAATGGTTTGAAAAAATAACACTTTTTAGTAGAACTAGAAGTGTTGTTTAATTTCTAAATTATTGTTTTGCAGATTTTATAAATAATTCCTTTCAAAGCAGAATAACTTGAATGGGTAGTACCAGTTGGAAATGTGACAGTTGATTGTTTTTACATTGTTTAAACATTTTGTTTACTTTTTGACTGTGGAATTGATTTACGGTTCAAAGTGTGACATTTTTCCTGTCCCTGTTACTTTTGAAATGTGTAACTTGCCATTTGAGTACATGTATCACTAAGAACTTCAAACAATTGTTGTATTTGTTGCGTGGGTAGTTTGCCTTTCATAATCACTCTTGGAGGACGACTGCATTAAGGAGTGCATCAGAATTATAAAATCATAGATGTCAGATGTAACAGGGACAGGAAAATGTGGGCCCTACATTTATAGAATGACCCATATATAAATAAGATCGATGTTGCTAAAAAAACAAAACTGCTGTGTGATGTATGAATTGAGTTATATTAAAAAAATAAACATCAAAATGGATTCTACAGATTGTAATCAACTGAAATACTGTTCATTTAGAGTACACATTTTTTTTGGGGGGGGATGTAATTTCATGAAAATTAAATTGTCCACAGTATTACAAGACTTGTTCAATGGAACAAAGGAAAGAGCCTTTCCAGAACTTCCTTTCTTTTAAAAAATTGTTTTAATTGTAGCCCACTAGTCCCTATACTGCCCAAAACTGCCCTGCCTGTGATTTATGGGACCTTGTTCCGTTAACTTCCAACACTGGTAAAGAAGACAATTATGTGAAAATGCTATAGAGTGATACAGGGGGTGGGGCACAGATTAACTTATGCGCATGTCCAGTATTCTGCAAATATGTCACTGAAGTCTGCAAGTGTTAATAATTTGCTTCATTACGTATTCATCCCTAAGACTCTAAACCCTCAAGTAAAGTTTTAAGATGCTGTATTTTCTTAAGAAACAATGCGCAAACAAGGAGCTCTCAAGCTAGACTGACTCCCTCTGTGTCCTCAAGTGTCTTGTGTTTGTCCTTTATTGATTTTCAATATTGAACATCTAAGATGCTTCGCAGGGAGTCTAGCAGAGCTAGCCTGGGCCACACCTTGTTGGAATGTTTGTGTTATCGGGTATAGGGGATGGGGAATTATCAGGCTAAGAAAGAAACAATCAACAAGTGTAAAGTTTGCTGGTTGTGTGTCCATTACTGTATCGATTTACACAATACAGGTTGACTTTTGGCTTTTGTTAGTTCTGTCATGCTTCCATGGTGAAGTACTGGTACTATGACTTACAAGATTTTGAGTATTATAAGAACAATCACCAAAAAGTTAGTCAAAGACTGTGAGGTCTTTTTTTCAATTAACAGCTTTAATTATATGTAGAGAGAAGCTAACAACCTGTTACGGGTGAGTAAAACATTGAACTTTTTTGTCAAACATGTCAGGAAATAGATATTTGTAATTTTAAAATTGTGCAGTTGAACTTCATTGTGACAGTACTTGCTATACTGCTAAATAAGTTTCTGCAGAATGTTTGAATTTGTCATCGATAATGAAAGTGAAATTATCTTTCAATTGAACCATCCTTATTTAGGCCTACATGTACTTAAGTTTTCTTTTAAAAGGAAAATTTCTTTTTATTGTTTAGTTCGATTAAACTTGCTAGATTTTCATGTTAATTACAAAATCGAATTCTGAAATTATCCACATAAGAAAAGCAAGGTTGCACTACCAAGGCCCATTTATTTTTCTGTGCATTATTTATGGTGCATGAAAATCCACGCATTGGCTATCTTTATGCCCTATTTTATTGTGGTTTGGAAAAACTCATCTGATGTGTTGTTGTGATCAAAGTGGTCAGCAACTTTTGTATATACTTCTAAAAGTGTTTCAGGTACGCCCCAAATCCATGCCAAGATGTAATAGGATTATGGGCTAATCTTTCTAATTCCTCAACACTCTCTTAATCCCACTGCCTGTAGTTTACCATTATAGTAAATCAGTTTTATGCAACTGCAAATTTCAAGGACCAAATCATCCAATTCAATGCAGCAAACTTTTTCCAAAGCGTCTTTAGAAACTCTTCCCATGCAGTATCAATACATGTACTTACTGATGCTTTCCGTGCACTGAGCTCTGTTTTGCATTTTACTTTCACCACCCACAAATCCGGCCCTTGTAAGTATGAAATTTTAATGATTTCACATCCAGTACTTGGTTACCCCTCCACACTGTCTTAATTAAATTTTCATATGTGTTTCTCATGAAAGTTTCAAGCCTGTGTTACCTTTTCTTTTGTTATTGCCCAGGTGTAGGGATAAGGACCTTAGAAACCAAGCCACTTCATCCGGGGATACGCGGATGTGGCTTGTTGCAGTTGTGCCTTGGGAGACATGTTGAGATCTTATTGACATGCGTAGCAGGCCCAGGATTATATGTACTACACACCACATTGTGAAGCATAAACTTTGTGGCAAACTGACTTTTGAAAAGGTAACTTTTTCTTTTTGCTTATAGTACCATCAAAAGATATATTTCCTTTTAAAAGTAATCTGTTGAAATGTGAAGCAACATTTCATCAAAAGCTGTCATTTTGAGAAGTATTTCTGTATGATATATGTATTTAAAAGGTTACATTAACCAAATAGATGATATTCAAATAGTTTTTTTTTTTTGGGGGGGGGGGGTATGGTTTTTTTGTACCAATTTTGGAAAAGAATAGGGTGTTATCATAGGCAAATGTATGTTCTCAGGAGATATGGCCAAGATTTTGGATTAAAAGAGACATGATTTAGACCCCTAATGGTCAAGTCTGATTTTAGGGCGTGCACATTCACCTGAAGTATGTAGGACTGCACTTTTAACCCCCCCCCCCAAAAAAAAAGGGGGAAAAAAGATTTTTACGACTTGTCATCACTTGTCAGCTACTGAGGTATTAAATACAAAGTATTGATTTGTTTGTTTTTCTGACAAGACTTTTTCCATTGGTGGCTTAAATTGATCAAAATAATTCTGTTCAATTTGCAGAAAGTTTAAAGAGATTTACTTGATTTGCAGTATATACTTTCAGGGATGACTTTTTACACATCTCCAAACATAAGTCGTGTTAATAAAAGTTCTGTAGCCAAAATTGTCAAAATATGGTACATCATGTTCATTTAGATTTTTTGCAGCTTGTCATAGGAACAAAGATTTTAGGATGTAACTGATCTGGGTATGTGCTCAGCAACTTTCCAAAAGGATGCCTGCCTTACCATTGTCGAAAACCCCTACAAATCTATTGCCTGATGATGTCAGAAACATTTCAGAAGATCATAATGATGGAAGAAATAGAAAACCCTCGGAAAGTCTGAAAGAGAATTTTGTTGCATCTGAGCCAAGTTTTGACAGCAATGGACCATCTTACTTTGATAACACCAGTGGACATGATGAAATATCAGTAAACTCTAGCGCTGCTCCACAGGACAGGACAAACGTAAAACAGCTCTCGAAAATCAGCAAGGATACTGGCCATCAGGCATCAGATGCCAGATACATCCATACATCTCAAGAATTGTCAGCAGAAGAGGGTGACATTTCTCTACTTCTGGATAATTCCTCATCCAATGAGAGCTATGGTAAGGTAAAGCGAGGAAATTCAGGAGCACTTTTGGAAAAGAAACTTTCGATCATCTCCGTCAGAGATTCGGAATTGGATCTTATTGGTCTGACTCATGATGGAGGGTCACGTGTGAGTGACATCACAAAGGAAGCAGTACTCACTGAACCAAATCAATTTTCGGAAGCCACCACCAGCAGTCATGAACTAATTTTGTCTTCATCTACAAAACAAGACCACACTTCAACTGAAAAACTTCAGAGTAACACCCCAGCATCTCAGAGTAACAACATCCAAATGTCTTCCTCAACAAAGCCACCTTCTGATAGTCAAATTCATCATACTACTGAACAATTGCCAAGTTCAAGCTCTCCCCAGTCAAGCGCAAAACCACGGGCAAGACAGTGTTGTGGGGGTCATGGCAGTGCAAGAAGTGATAATGCGTCAAGAAATCAGCAACAGGGCCAGGGAATTTCCAAAGATTACCATGTTCAATTAAACACACCCCCAAAGACTATGGATGCATCTTGGATGGATTCTCCCACTTCCAATGGACATACAGGATCGCCATCAACTGTAGCAACTTTGGACTCCTCCACATTATTGAAGGGGAATTACAAGAAGCAACAAGGAGGAGGATTATTTGAAATGCTGCTGACAGACAACAGAGAGGCTGTAGAATTGGAATTGGATTGTGACAGTAACACTGACGGCAAAATGCAAGGAGGTAAGATAATTTAACTTTATATTTCCCTGCACCTTTGTATCAATGTGGGTTTTGGTTAAAAATGTGATTGTCAGTCTAGTTGAAGTTGTGGTCACAAATTTGTTTTGAAGTTTCATGATTGAGTGAGTTCCAGTTATATACTTCTCATTAAACACCAAAGGCATATCAACTAGAGGAAAGAATTCCAGAATTAAATTGAATCAACTGTCCAAGTTTTTCTGTGATGTCCTGAGCATTTTGTTAAATGAAGCCACTCTGGTTAATCAATTAAAGATAACCAGGTTACCATGGCAGCCAGTGGCACATCTGGGGAGGAGCTGACTCCTCGGCATCCCTCTGCGGCCGATCAGCAACCGGCTCCCAAGAAGAGGCGCAAAACTGGCCGCAGGACCCTATGTGCTGACCCTTTCGCCAAGCTCCCGAAGGTCAAACTCCGGCCATTTGTCTGGACCGAGGATTCCGACGATGAGATGTCTTGCGAGATTGTCAGGCAGAAACGGAAGCTATCGGCAAAGAGGTCTCCTAGGTGAGTATTGGAATCCATGATTAGTTTGGTAAATGTTGGCTATTGGGTTTTACCCATCACCGACGTAATTTTACAAGCAATGTGTACACAGTGCTGTCAAAGGGCATGTAAGAAAACAAATTCACTACCTTGCTTTGGTGGGACTCGAACCCACAACCTTCAGGTTGTGCAGGTGTCTCACTCAACAACAAAGCTTGCTTATGGTCGCAATGCCTGTTACTGCAATCACTTCTGCATCTGGAATTCTTTTCATGCAAGATATAATTTGGTATATACATGCAGGTTTCTAGCTTGAACAAAGGCTTTCGCCTGCCTCACTGTGTGTGTTGTTGCAGGTAAGAGAGGCACTGAGCATTAATTTTATCCCAGCAGCAAACAAAAGAAATTGTATAGGCCTACAATTGTAAACAATCAACTTGGTCATTGAAAAAATCTAAATAAAATAACTTCACCAACATCGTTGTATAATAAAGCTGCAGAACACACAATGAAAATTGCAAGCTCTCGTTTTAAAAAATGTTGCCTTTAATAATCGTGTGGGAACTGTGAAATCTGATGTTGATTTCCCAGGTCAGTCAACCGACATAGCAGGCAGTTTGAGGATCCCTTCAAGGAACTGGCATTTGTGGTGTTTGACAGTGCTGACGTGGATTGCGATAAGAGACTGAGAAGAGCAGAATTTGCTTCTGTGAGTTTACTTGAAGAAGTTAGCAGATATGCAGTGTAGTATTATCATCTATTCAAATAAACGACAAACTGGAAACTAAGTACGTACATTCTTTTATAAATCAGTGAGAGGTTATGGGTGGAGATCCAGAAACAATTTTTTTTTCTCTTTTGGGTTGGGGTGGACCTCGTTTGACACTAGGAGGCACTCTTTTTTGCCCTTTTTCTTATCGCTCTTTTATTTTTATTTCACAAATCCATACAGGGAAAGGGGATGGGTAGTATCAATTTGAAAACAGTAGTTTTCACTCTTTTTCTGGTAAAAGAAAAAGATATTTGCACTTGTGGGGCCAATATAACTGTTCACTGCAGAGCTCAGAGTAAATTACTTTGACTGCTCAAGTCTCTAAGAGCAGACTAGAAATTACATTTTTTGTCAATTTGTCAAATATTTTCAGATATTTATATTTTAACAACATGTTTAGATTTTGAAATCACCAACTCTGGATCTGGAGCTGTCTGCTGAGGACATCAGGAAGCTTGAGAAAGATTGCAGCAAGGGCAGGAAAGATATCAGGGTAAGTAATGTAGCTCCATATGAGTGCCTTGTCATTAACAATAGGTTGAATGGCGTAACTACGCAGTGGTGGATCCTAGACTTTCCAAAGGTGGGTTTGGGTGTGGGGGGGGGGGGCATTGAAGTCCAAGTATTTCCAAGGGGATCTGCACTTGCTATGGTCTACTAGTAATTAGCAAGTGGACACTTGCAGAATCCTCATTAACTTGAATGGGCATTCCGTGGGTCTGGCTATAGTTTAAAACAATACAAATCTCTTTCTTTTTCCTCCAGATTCTGAGCGGTGGGGGGGGGGGGGGGGAGGGGAGGGGTTGAGGAACATTGGGGAATTGGAAAGACCTCCTGCCTCCCACACCTTAAGCCCTGACCACAAGCCCCAAATGCTCTCTATACCTTGTAGGCCAGAAGCAAGTTTACAGCTATTGCTTTGCATTTCTACATCACTCTGATTCTATTTTTATTGTAAAATCAAAAGGCATTTATTAGGAGATTGTGGGATTTTTAACAGTATTTCCCCCCAAAACCACATCCATAACCCATAATCAAAGAGAAGATCATGACCAACTGATGGCTTTTTTTTAATAGCGATAAAATCATATCATTCAACGGCAAACTCCAATAGTGAGATTTTAATGAGATCAAATGCTCATATGCTGTTCCATGTTTTATAGAATCTTCCGGTGTCATTCGATGAGTTCCTCCCTCTGGCAAGGAATCTGCTGTTGCTGTACTACAACAAGCAGGATGCAGACTCAAGGGTAAACCAACCATAAATCCTACATCTCAAGAACATTACAATGACAGCATCTTTATTGTTCAATGACAAAGGAATTTTTTTGCCAAAGTTCATTTGAATAACTTGTGACTTGACTTGAGACTGCATGACTTGTGATTGACTTCTCGTGGACTTGTGATTGATTTGTGATGACTTGTGATTGACTTGTCAGGACTTGTGATGACTAGTGCCTTCTGGTGGACTTGTGATGACTTGTGATGACTTGTGATTGACTTGTGATGACTTGTGATTGACTTGTGATGGACTTGTGATGGACTTGTGATGGACTTGTGATGACTTGTGATGACTTGTGATGGACTTGTGATGGACTTGTGATGACTTGTGATGACTTGTGATGACTTGTGATTGACTTGTGAGGACTTGTGATGGACTTGTTAGGACTTGTGATGGACTTGTGAGGACTTGTGATGGACGCGAGTTCAACACTAAGGCTGCATCCGAATCAACTGTCTAAAGCTAGGTCTAGGTCCGCGCCCATTGAAAATACGCGGGGACGCGCTGACAATAGACGTAGCCGTAGCTCTGGAAGCCCATTTCGGACACAGCCTTAGTTTGAGTATCCATTGATCAACTTTGTTCCCCGCAGAACCCTTGGAGCATTCTAGACAGGGGCAGAGATCACCCACCATACTACTTCAATAAGAACACCGGAGATGTCAGGTAGGTCATGACAGAAACTTACAAACCTCTTTTTGTGGTGTTTTGTTTGTAATTGTCAAAGCAGAAGATGGACTCCTGGTCATGTTTTGAGAGATAGAGCAACCCTGGCCATCATTTTTTTGTGTGCTGCAACTTAATTTTTTTTTCCAAAAAGTTTCAAAGATTTTGCAAATCTTCAACTTTGGTTCTTGAAATTTGCTTTCTTGGAAGATACTTTTGCAACCCCACTCTCTTCAAAATGTTGTTAGTTTATTACCAGTATGCTATTTTAGTAAATGAACATTGGCAATTTAACAAGTTCCTGATTAAAACCTTTTATCTTTTTTCATAACTATAGTAATGTGAAATTAAATCAATCGAAATGTCAAATCAAATTAAATCATTAGCTCATGTACTACAGTTTATTACATTGCAGTTGCTTCCTAAAGAATCTCTAAAACCTTAGCATGCTCGGGCATTTTCAGACGGTACATGGAGTAATATGCAGGGCACTTTGGGGCGGTAAAAGCACTAATGGGTAGCCAAGTTTTATTTTAAAATTATATAATTTTTTAAAGAGCATAAAATTCTGCAAAATGTTGTTGCAACTTGGACATCTTTTCTTATATTTTTTTTATATTCCACAGTTCTGATCGCCCTGTGGATTATGACAATCAGCCAGAACTCTTCCTCTTTGAGAAGGCCCTTCAAGACACATTTGAGACGGCAGACATGGATAAAGATGGCAGGATTCATCTCAATGATTTCATTAGAGTAAGCAATGCCCAGGGATATGATAACTACACATTTCTACCAAAAACAAAATCTAAATCCGTTCACATATTTCCCATGAATATAAACAGAAGCCAACTTGTCAAAACGGTGCTTGTGTAAACACTAAACATGGTGATATGCCTTACTGATTTCATTTACAATATATATATTATTTTTTTCTGTACAAAGGTTGTCTTGAGTTCATAGAATAATAGGTTTGGTGTAACACTTTATTTTAACAATTTAATTGATCTGAATGTGTTTTTCTTCATTTTCAGATTATCAACTCTGACCTCAGTCTCATTCTTACCAAGAGAGACATCGCTGAAATAACAAACCATTTCAGAAAGTAAGTCCAAATTTGTTGAAGACAATTTATTGCTCTCTTCTTTTCTGATCATGCAATTTTAGACTTTTTTAACCAATTACAAGTTTTAATCAGCGAGGGGAAAACTTCAATTTGAAGCTCACCCAGAACTAACAATTGGTAAGTTTTGCAAGAATTTCACAAGCCTTTCAATCCATAGGACGTTCTCCAAGAGAGTTTTTCATAGTGTATTGAGAGGTAAAACGTAATTGGAGGTTTCCAGTTATTGTGTATTAATGAATCCTGAACTCCACAGCAAACTAGAAGGTTGGCGATAGTACCGTGTTGGAGGTGTGTTTCTTGAAGCCTTTGTTGCGGTAATAAAAAAAGACAAGTCAGGCCTAGTAAAACTGGTCCCAGAGTTATTCTATACGATTGATTCAATTCTCTGGAAGTCTTTTCATGCATGTGACATACTAACAGTCAGTCACTCGGGGAGTCAGTCAGTCATTCGGTTGGTCGGTCGGTCAGTCGGTCGGTCGGTCGGTTGGTCGGTCGGTCGTTCAATGTCCATAAAGGACTATAGGCTTGCCCTCTAGGACCAGCAATAAATCAAAACCAAAAAGTGATCACTCTTTTTTCTTCTTTTTTTTTTGAAGTGAGGCAGGTAAAGTGGACAAGGTTAGCTACGGTGAGTTCCTGCCCCTTGCCAAGCGACTTGTTGTGGCTGTGTTCTCAGCAAGAGATTCAATTGCGGTATGTAAACTATGTGCCAATTAAAAACAGTTACCTCTAGGATACCGACCAACTCTGACAGAACAACTGGGACACAGACCCACACTGTCCCAGAAAACCCCACCCTCACACCCATCCCCAGATTCACACCCACCCCACCCATACACCCACACCCCACCACCACCCCCACACCCAATCCCACCCCACCCCTACTGACCCTGACACACCAAAAAGCAAGAATTTAACACTTTATGATAGGAATGTTAAAAAATATGTTTGTATCAATGATTGTGATTTGAGAATGTCACAATCGATCAAGTGCCGTTTTTTTTAATGTCAAATGTACAGCAAAAAAAATTAACAGTTATTTGTCATGTTACAAGAATTTGTATTCAAGGCTGAAATTACATTCATTGTTAAAGTTTTGGGTTTTACTTTCCCGCATTGGTCATAGAAGCAATCTACAAGTTTGAGATTTTAGGCTTTATTTGTACAGAGATGAAGGCTTAAGAATTGTTTCACCAAAATAGAGCAAATTCTTTTATGAAAAGTATTTTTGTTTTCTATTGATCAGTTAAACCAATGGACAGAAGTGACACATTTTGTGGTTTGTACATGTACTTGTTTCTCATTGTAGCATTGCTACATGTATTAGGTTATAGAATGAACTTTGATTTATAATAAACTAACTTTATTCAAATAAAAGTACCCAAGTTTAATATGATGAACTTACAAGAAATTCAGTTGAACATTTTGTTTTCAGTCCAAATGAGTTTACTGATTGAGCCTGTTGTTATTATTTTTAGTGACCTTTTAATGCCCAATCCCCTTTTTTGAAAAGTTCAGTCTTAGACCCTTATTCTTCCAGTCCAAAATACTCTTCAAACAACTTGTTTTCCCCCAGACAGTTATATTCTATGCAACAACAGACTATTTTGTCCTGAAAGACATCCCTACAATGACAATAGAGCCTCACTCTATGCAATAACACACACACACTTAAAAGTTTGCCTGGAGTTATTGGCCCAACAAAGTTGTGCAGTTCATTCAATATTAAACGGTGCGTGAAGACCTTGGTACTTTCCCTGCTTGTAAGTGGATCCATTGTTATGCAAATGTGAAGCCCCATAAGGGCGTATTGATTGGCCGGTTTTCATGCTGATTTGCATACTGGGCAGTAGGCTCTTCTTGACAACGAAACGAAAGAGCCAGGGCCGTATTGATTGGCTTAAGTGTCTGGTTCAGGACATGTTGGTAATAGATCTTCACTCAACTCTCTGATAATTAGTTGTTGCAATTGTGGTTATCTTCGCAAATATTTACCCCTTGCTGTTGTGTTCGGATAATCGGAAAACAAACTTTGTTTGGACTTACATTCAGTACATATTTGTGGAGTTGTATGTTATTGAGAAGCTTTAGTGGATGTTTTGTGATGTTCTTAACGTACACTTGTGAGAATATCATTAGGAACTATGATGTAGTGTGGACATTGTAAGGAGGTAAGTATGTAATGGGACAATTTCAGCATTATGGAAGAAAATGTAATGTCCACGACAGAGCCAATTAAATGATATCAAATTTATGATTCAGAGGAATGATCCAAAACTCCTAGTCTTTACAATCTCTTTGACCATTACCAGCTGATGGATATATTATAAGATTTGAGAACTACATTTTCAGGTTTATTCACTGAGCTCTTAAAGTATAAAAATTGTCTGATTTGTAATGTGCGTGACATTGGAATTGCCCAATAGTATTTTAGTTATATATAATTTTAGAGAGGACTACTTTAAAACTTTGTGTTGCTTTGATAGTTATGATTTTTGTTAACTCCGGAAACTGAAACTCCAAATATGAAATACAAACTGCAGACAGGCAGAGACATTTTCAAAAAGTAAGAAATTAGCTTTTGATGGACATTTTGTGCTTTGAGTGATTTTTTTTGCAGAGGGAGGCATTAAAACAGAGATTTTGTTGACTGTTATGGTTTAGGATGACTGGAGTTTTCTGCACTCTAGGAACGTAGGCGCCTTCTGGTTTAACAAGAGGACAGGCCAGAGTTGCAGACACGCACCCAACCACATCGTCACCATGCAGCAACAGCAGCTCAGACACAGGTAGGACATAGATTTAAGAGGAGCAATATTGAGATAAAGCACCCGTTTCAGCTCAAAAACATGTTTACCGCAAAGTGATAATAGGTAGAAAGATGGTTGAAAAAATAGTATCGTTTCGATTTGCGATAACACCATGTGGTAATAACTACTGCTTAGAAGATATTAGTTCTGAAAAGAACTAAGTTGTCCTGCTTATTATTAACTTTCGCTAAGTAGTTTTTGTTCTGATAGAACAGTCATCATAGGATGACTAGAGCAGGCTAGTCGAAACGTTGAGACCAAAAGACAAGTTCTTTTAGAACTTAAAGCAGGACTGCATGTTCTTATCAGAACAAAAAGTACTTAGCAAAAGGTGATAATAAGCAGGACAAGTTCTTTTCAGAACTAAATATCTTCTAAGCAGTAGTTATTACCACATGGTGTTACCGCAAACCAAAACGATACTGATACCATGCAAAGCCTAAAATCTTATATTAGAAAAAAAATGGAATACAAACGTTCACACAACTATACCTTGGAAATTGGCTGTTTTTGTGTAATCACCTGACAAATTTATCATGAATTTTATCATGTGACAAAATTTTGTTTCTCAAAAATCAAGGCATTGAGCACTATACTCTTCATTCCAGGACACGTTTCTTTTCGAAAATTCCTCCAATGCGTGTGCTCTAAAATCAATTTTGTATCATTCTGAAGCCAGCGTTGGACCTGATGTCTCACAGTGAATTGTCATAAACATTTTTACGGGGTCAAAGTCTTTTGGTAACTGCCACTATTTTCTTTCAAAGTAAAACTTTGCTTAGCGTTTCATTTTTCTGTGTGTACTTTTTTGGTAAATTCTGACAGAAAACATGAAGGCCAAGCTCTTCTGAAGGCAACAGAGGAACTCAAAGTCACCAAGGCTAAACTGGAGGACGAGTCAACTCTCAGAAAGGTACAAGTTTTTTGTGTTTTTTTCTAAAGAAATTTGTGATTTTTTCTTCGAAAAAGGGCATCTCAGGATAGAATGCAAGTTGGCAAAATTTAGACAATACATCTGCTATATTTTGTAGGGTTCTGTGAAGTGTGCATACTTGCAAATTGTTAATGTTTTCAAAATGTACAAAAAGCATGATATGATAATGGACTTTCAGTCAACTCGTTTCCCAGGAAAAGAAATTCTAACCTGATTATTTGGTATTTTCTTTTATGTGTTTGATTTAAAAGACTTGTTTGTCTCTTTTGTCTAGGACTTTGAGGAGAAGTATACATCACTCAGTTCTGAACATGCGATCACATCCAGAGAACTGCAGAAAATGGAGCGACTGTATGACAAGTGCAGAGCAGAGGTAATGTCCTGATTGATTTCCTTAAATGGAGGGGTTAATTTCAAAGTCTTCTTGAAAAAGAAAATGAAATACTGAGACTGCAGTTTTCATAAGTTAATGGTGAACTTGTGCATTGTATTTAAGCAGTCAAATTAATGTGGATTTTTTTTAAAGTAATGGCTGGTTCATACTTCATGCAATAATGAATGAGAAGATAATATAAATTTGATATCAAGAAACAATTGAGGTAAATTCATGAGAGCTGGAATATGTTCATCTTGTGTTCATGCACATTTTCAGCATGCACGTTTGCTCTGACATCAGAGTATAAACCTGTGAGAACAAATTCGCAGGGATTCAAATGCATGAACCAATGACCGCCGGCATCAGCAGGCTAGTTTGAACCAAAATAGCAGCAGGTCCTGCAACAAATCACAATTTATAAGATGGAGTTTTGCGTCTGGGAGAGGTTTTGCCCTTCACTGATGTAATTTTATAAATTTACTGATGTAATTTCCTACATTTACATCAGTGATGACAGGCTAAACCTAACTGAATCTATATCTTCCTGATGCAAAATGCCATTATAGTTCTGCTCTTACAGTTGTAGGAAAAAAGTAGAGCTTTTAATCTCCTCAAAAAGTTTTGAATTGACATCGAGATCCTAGAATATTGTTTTCTTGGAAAATGCAGCATTTACTGAGCTAAAACTTCATCAGTATAGTTGTTGAACATCCGTCTTTAGATTTTGAACACTTTTGTTGGTTCAAACGAAACAAATGCAAAAAATGACAAATGATCTTCTCTACCTTCAAGTGAAAGAATAAAAGTGCTATCAGTCCTGTATTGCAAATTCATGTGCAAATTTTGACCTTTTTTGTTGATATCATACAGAGTGAGAAGAAGAGCATAATGCTGGATGCTAATGAGAAAGAGAAGACAAAACTACTTCACAAAATTGAACAACTGGAAGAAAGAGGTAAAGAAAATGACATTGTCTTCCTCACCCCTTGTTACATTATTATTCATATTTTAGAACGGTAATAATGTTTGCTCATACGTCTATTAATTACAAAAGTAACATTCAGTGAACATCCTTTGTTGCTGTCAATTTATGACACTCTCGAACAAATCAGGCTTTTTAATTAAAAAAAAGAAAGGTGCCATTTTGACAGTGTTCAGCAGTGTGCAACGATTACGTTTCCCTTAATTAAATTTGGTTAAACTGTCCATTTCATTCAAGTAAAAAAAAACTTGTTGCTAACAAACTTTAATGAGGTTTTTGTCTTTGCAACCGTTAGTCGTGTACAAAGGAATCAACTCAAGTTAATAACTGCTTTGCTAGAAATAGTGTCAATTTAATTTCCTGACATAATATTATTATTATATATTAATATTATTAATATTATTTTTTGATTTTCAGTTGCTGATGCTGAAAGAACAGAAACCAATCTGGACTCTGTGCGAGATGTCCTTAGAAACTGCCAGTAAGTCACTGTGATTTCATGAACATTTTACTGAAAATTTAGTACCTGAAAGATCCACAATCTGAGTTGCTCAGAAAACTTAACTTAAAAAGTTAACTGTTGATGTCTGTTGAATATTGATCATGCTCATTTATTAACGATTATTATAATTGTATTGAATACCTCATTCAAGCCCAATACACAAAATTACACGAATTTGCCACATTTTTACGACAGATTCACGTCATTTTTCTGTGATTCCATCATTATCAACATGGCTATTGACTTATTTGGTGAACAAAATTAGAAGCCAATCTTAAAGACTAGGTGAGCATGCATTTTGGTAACCCAATTGGTCGAAGTAGCCCAGAGTGCGTCCATATTGAGTGCGATGCATACGAGCTCGGTTCCAACTTAGAAAATGGCTGTCGCCAAGTTTGTCTATAGAAATCGTCAACAATTTTCATCTTTGTTCCACCCAACCTCAGAGGTGCTCTAAGGGAACACGAGCTGGACATCATGAGTCTGCAGGCCAAGATTGATGATCTTAGCAAACAGCTGAGTGAGTCGGAGTCCAAGGTGGAGGAAGGGCAGGGAGTCATCGCGGACCTGCATCGACAGCTACGAGAGGAAATCAAACGCAATGAGAAGATGGAAACGGTAGGTCACTTTGATGATGAAACCCTTGTAGAAGACATGCATAAGTTTAGTAGCATGGCTATTTACTGCTTTCCATGATCCTATAAGAATTTCAAGAATCTGTAAAGACCTTATCACCAGTGGCACACGCAGGATTTGGCTTGTGGGGGGGGGGGCTCACAATTATTTTTTTCCAAATTTTTTTAGAAGTGGGTTGATCCTCTCAACCCTGGACCTGACCAGAGCAAAGTTTGTACCCGTGTAGAGCATTAATTGGCCTTGTATAGCAGTAGTATCATAGCAGAGCTGCCAACTCTCCCGGATTTTGCAGAAGACCACTAGTACATCACAAATCAGTTCACCCATCAAGTCACAAGTAAACAGGGGATGAACACTAACAAAGTTCATTTTAATAACTTTTGTTGACTTGGGAATGACATGTGATGGACTTGAGATGACTTGTGATCTATCAAATGTACCTCCACTACAACACTGCTGTGTTTTGTGTTGCATTCTTGCTAGCGTGAAAGAGATTTTTGATAGTTTAAAGGTATAGTCCATCATTTGTAATTTGTGCATTTTGTTCGTTTTAAGCAACAAGCGTGCTCAAAATCTGAAGAAGGGTGCTGAACAACTAACCTGATGAAGTTTCAGCTCAGCTTCAGCTGTATATTTCGAGAAAAACAGCATTCTAGGATCTCGATTTCAAATCAAAATTAAGTTGCTGAATCATGTTTTGAATTGGGCCTGAATTCAGTGTCTGAGACACGTTCTCACTGAGCCAATTGCAGTTACGCGATGTTGCCACTGATCCGACGAATTATAGCAACCGCGCGCGCGTGCTTCGCCGAATAAAAAAATGAACTACTAACGGAAATTTCCAACGGTGCGTCTTAAGACGCACCGTTGGAAAGGCCTTCTTTCGTTGATTTCTTCAAAATGACAGCTTGCCAGAAAGAATAATTTCACAGGGAGTTTAGTCCCCTTACTATCTTTCAACCAAGCATGTTTTCCAACAATAATTACGTCAGTTACTTCATGGATAGCTGCAAATGATGGACTGTAGCTTTAATTGGAAGAGCATTGAGATTCATTAAATAATACTCTTTCATTTTCAGGAATTGAAGAAGGTTCCGGACATCAAGAAGGAGTTGCAAGAAGAGAAAGAGACCCTCCAGCTTTGCCAGAAGAAGCTGGAGGAGAGGAACGCTGTCTTGACCTTGACCCGACAGGTCAACCGAGAGAATAAGACAAAGATCAAGACACTGGAAACAGAGCTCTCCAAACTGCCCTCTGTTGAGGAAGAACTGGAAATCGCACAGTGTGAGATCTACACCCTCAAACAGCTGATTGTTGGGAAAGACAGTCTGGTGGCGCAGAAATCACAGGAGCTGGACAGTGTCAAGGAGAGGCTGGATCGTGGGATGGAGGGAGGGGCGGGGTCTGGGAACACAACGAGGGGGCGGGGCACGAGAAACGGTTACCCACCGAATGGGGTGAACTATAGGGTTATCCGACTCCAGAAGAGGTAGGTGTGAACTAACTTTAGTGGAGACTTTGTAATTTGTAATGCGTGTGGCCGACATAATGGGCCGAGAGTTTAGCCCATTCATTGGTATTACAGGGTATCTCTAAGTCAAACTTTTGGGCCAAGGTGAGACTTATGGAAGTCTAATTCACCAGTGACAGTCAGTGAGTGAGTCAGTCTCACATTCATATCTAAAGTTTTTTAAGACAAAAAAATCACTGCAAAAACCAAAGCAGACATAGTCTTCATGGCTTTATTATTCATTGATACAGTCTTCTTAAATTGTTAATTTACTTTTAACTAAAACAATACAGGAACACCTGTCTTTGTTTCCGATAATCATTAACTGATTCGTTCATTTGTAACCCTAGGTCATCAAAGAGCATGCAAGTTGGGGCCCGCTCAAAGGAAAACAAGGTAAGTACATTCAATAAAAGATGGACCAATATATTTTTTGCATTCTTATTTTAGAAACTGTTGAAATATCTGGCCAAACGAAGTTATCAATATGTGCCACACTTTGTATATATGAAGTACGTTCACTGTGGAATTTGTGGAAGAAGAGTATGCACTGCCTCTGCCAATGGACTGATGCATGACCAGTAGAGGGCCCTTTGTGATGGCATTAACGAGGGCTTCTGTGGAAGAATACACAACATGCAAGACCATTTGCCATGGTTTGTACGCGTATGGCGTGAACCGCTCACGAACAATTTCATAATTAATTGTGCACAAGCCTGTAGCGTGTTTACGTGAGCAAGTAGGCATAAGGTGCCAATATGTACAAGTGTTTCTCCGATTGTAATGTCAGTGGTCCCTCCCAACTCTCTCTTTGTGACCGTTGAGGGGGTACTTGTATATGAGTCTATACAAAAAAATGAATTTTTTTCTGTATTTGTATTTTGTCATTAGCCATCATACAACTCCAGCCGCATAGACATCAGCACACCTCCTTACGACAGTAGTAGCAGCAGTAGCCAATCAGAATGCAAGCACCAAAGACTGAATGATTGTCATCCAGACGACGAAGACGTGGTGGCGACGTCCGTGAACGCATCAAACGGAGGACTCTTGCGACTTCTCCAAAAACAGGGCAGCGTGGAAGAGGACGAGCCCACTATATATGACTTGTATACGCCTGAGGGTTCTTACATGCCCACCTCTAAGACTGTCACCCCTTGCCTGAAAAATGGTGCCAACCCCAGGCCTAAGTCCTCTATGGCTAGATTAGGGGCAGAGGAGTCTTCCATTATGCAGAAGGGGACGGTGATGTTTGAGGATGACTTTCTGGTGGCCCAGTGCCTGCAGGTTGGAGACAGGGTCCGCATCAAAAAGAAAGGTTTGTGACTTAAAGATTTCTTTCGTTTTATCTGTGTGCACGTTTGGTCAAGAGTAAAAAATTGTTTTCTGCTACGATGTGGTCCATGGCATTTTTGTATGTCTGGGGGGATTTGGTACCCGAGGTGCCATTTCATTTGTCCCCAATTATTTTCTTAAAATTTATTGCCTGAATAAAATGGAATTAAAACAATGCGCAATAAATATCAAGCTGAAATATAGTTGCTTGCTGCATAATTTTTTTTTTTTTAAAATAAAGTACATCGCCAGTATTGGTACTCAAGGCACTACGTCAATATTACCCAAGCTCATTGATCCAATGAAACATTCCAAATACAATCTCAGCTCATTTCAGTGTAAGGCGGCTAAAATCAATCACAATAACCATCTCTGCCCTCACAGGTACCCATTTACTCCTGGGCGGAGAGAAGCAATGCGCGACAAAGTGCCTTGCCCAAGGACACACGCACGCACCATAACCCCAGGCTGGACTGGAACTCACAACCTGCAGAATTACAATATAAATGTACTGTTTTGAATTTTAAACTTTTTTTTAATTGTAGGTGGTAAAAGAGGAGGCACCATTCAGTCAGGAATCGTCAAGTTCATCGGTAAAGTGGACAAGGAATACAATCACAATGACCATAGACTGTATGCAGGCATCCGGCTGGATGAAGCAGGTTAGCTAAATGTCATTACAGCCTAAATCCCAACCACAAAAACCTTGTGTTGATGTTTTGTTTTTGCACCAAAAGTGAACTCGTCTGGTTTTCAGGTTGTTTTTGTTCTCTTGTTGGAGGGACAGAGAAAGCTTTAAATTGTTATTATTATTAATATTATTATTCATATATATGGTTATGAAACCAAGGATTCCTCAAAAGCGCACTAGGCACTGTAGCTCGCAAGCCTGAAGAAACCTGAAGAGAGAAGACAATGAGAAGGAATTACAGTTTAACAGAGGTGGGAGGAAAACCCCAGAATAATGTTCTGGGGAAACCCACAGAATCAGGTAGGGACTGAAAACCCAATCCTCATATTGGCCCAGGCGGTATTCGAACCCGGGTCACAGCGGTGGAAGGCGAGGAAAGTACCGCTACGCCAACCTGATTCCACATTAAATGAAGGTCCCTACTCCAACTGGCTTGTGACTGGATAAAAACCTCCACCAATTCCCTGGTAGTGTTTCCAGTGGGCACCACTTAGCCTCTCCGAACTCTTATGTTAAACAATTAATTCATTAATAATGGAATTCTTCTTTTTATTGTTGGTACTTTGTGGCAAGCCCATCCTCCCTTTCAGAACACCAAACTGATCATGTTTATTGTTTTCCTGCCAGAGGGTGATACCGACGGTGTGATCAAGGGCAAGCGTTACTTCACAGTCAACCCTCGACATGGAAAACTGGTACCCATCACCAGCGTGGTTGCCGTGCTAAACCCAAAGGTAAATTACATATATTTCAATGCCATAAAGTGAACAAATATAGGTGTGGGTGGGATTACATCAGCAGATGAAAACATCTATTCATTTGCATACCAGTTCTCCCTGGTTGCAGTGAGTTACTATTCAGCACTACAGACTCAAGAACCATCGAGTTTTAAGTAACTAGGTCCAGGAGCTATAGACACAGTAATGTAAGAAGCTCTCGGCTGTCCACACCCACTTATAACAATATTACACATTTCAAGAGGTTGAAGATTCGCCAAGTGTACTACAAGACTTTTTCTGACAGAATTTCAGATATTGTAAACTGTTACAAGTTGCTCTATGGTAGTTTGACCCATGAGCTGATAAGCTACACAGGGTCAAATAGAGAAATTAAAATCATTATGCAAATGGCTTACAATACGTTTCTCCTTTTCTTGACTATTTGTTTGATGTAGACGTCAACCTACAAACGCATCTCAGAATCTATCAGGGCACAGCAATTTGAGACCGGAGCAGTGCGATATGAGAAAGGGAGAAATGCACAGCTCATCAGAGTCAAGTAATCGCCAGTTTGTCATTGATACTGCGACGAGTGGTATAGACCAATCCATTGTACTATCATGAAGGCCCCCTTCAATGGGGAAAGCATTGTGCTAGCTGTTGTTCAGATAATCCATCAGGGGGTAGTTGCTTTATACAATAGCTGGCACAATGCTTTCACCATTGAAGGGGGCCTCTGTGAATGTACATTGGTAGTGTGCCCTGATTGGTCTACAGTGTCGAAACATCTTCAAATAAATATTGAACACTTGTGCTGCGCTAACTATGACGGACATTAATCAAGGCTGTGATTGATCAAAACAACATGGGGGCGGGGCCTACTAGATCAGTCTATTGCCATTGGCCTCGGGTGGAGAGAGGCAAGTGTCTTGCCCAAGTACACAGGTACCATGTTTCCTGTTGGGATTCCATTGAACCAAAGCACTCCATGTTATTTCTCTGTTGAATATTGAATTTAGCAAGTTACACACACTGACTCGGTTTGGACATCACATTGACGGGAACACATTCCATTTTCTCAAAAGAAATTGTCTCCATATTGTTTTATTGATTTATTACCATAACCCTGATATTGGGTAATTTTGCTCTTATCTCACAAAGTAGTTAATAAATCCTTGTTAATATGTATGATAATCCTATGTAATGTACAAATATATGAATAAACAAAGCATTTTCAACCAATGAATGAATTATACCCAAACTGAGTACAGAGTGTTCTTTCAAAGACTTCAAATAAATTTCAGATTTTGTGAATGAATATATTTACTCCATTTACTGATTCCTCACAATCATTGAGCAAAACAACACATCAGGAGATAAGTTTGTCGAAAAAAGTCGCAAAATCTACAAGATCAATCAAGCTATTTCCTGCAAGACATTTTTAATTTTACTGAATTGAAATGGAATGTTGGGGGCATATTGTGACTAGAATCCCCCTTCAGTCAGTTTACTTCAACTTGTAATTAATTGAAATTCAACTATTCAGTTGATTAACCATATCTCTTTTACCACTCATTTAAGGGAAAGTTCTCTGCAAATACTATTTGTGTTAATATAAATACTGGATACTGAAGCAATGAACACAATGGGCCTTATGCACAAGTCAGCCATATTGAATTGAAAGAGAGGCAAAAACTTAATTTTTGGAACTTGCGAAGAGAAATGAAATTAAACATTCCCTCATGTTTTAAGCCATATAAAAAAATGACGGAAAAACAAGGCTGCATAAATAGTCTGGTGCCATCCCATTCAAAGTTAACAATTTATGAAACACATTCAGGGAACTCGATAAAAATGGCCAACTCGTGCATAAGGCCCATACTACAATACTATCGGTTTGATGTTTGACATAAAAAAGAAGCCTCTTCAGCTTAACGACTGGAAAAACTTTGTTTACAATAATAAAGTCTTGCAGCAATTACAGTACATTGGAATGCACACATCTATGTGTTTGTGTTGTTTAATATATATCCTAAAAATAAGTACAAGTTCCGACTGAGGAAACATGGTGTTTATCCCCCCGAAAATAACTGAACAACTGACCACCTATTTTAATTACTTCCTGTACGTGCAAGTACAGGGAGCCCCGTTTACAAGCTTTTGCTTCTTTCGGTACCTCTCTAGATCTACAGACTCCTATTGCATTCAATATGTAAGTTTTTTGAATGGGCATTTCATGCATGATTCTCTGCAAAAATTAACCATGAAACCCCACCACCAATATTACCATTAAGCAATTGACATCCAAACTGGACACTTCTTGCCAAACCATCATCTAATATCAATTACCCTCTTGCTAAATCAATAAATACCCAATGTATTAGTCTACTTTCATAATTCTGAGCACAACCTGAGAAATCTAATTTTACCACTAGATTAATTTGGTCTTATTTTAAGTAGTCCATCTTTAAATTTAAAACGTAATAAAAAAATAAAGTAAAACACAAAGTATCCCTTTTGACAATCGGTGTCAAATTTCTTATAATATTGAATCACTAAAAAGTATTGAAAGGAACAGGTTTTTGAGCTTCAAAATCAAACAAATACTGGAAAATATCAACATGTTAAAAACTAAAGTCTTTAAAAATGAAAAAGTCGGCCAATGATGAAAATGAATAAAAGGATAGAAATAAATTTATGACTGATTATTTATAGTATGTACAAGACGATAACTACAAATACTTGAATCGAAAATTCTATATGTAATAAAAATATAAAAACCTTGTTGGAATTTCTTGCGAGGGCAAACAACAATATTGTAAGGGAAAATGTGTCTACCAGAATTTGATGAGAGCATTGTTTTTGACAGTGTAATGAAGATCCACATTTCTTAATTGTCATGTCTGCAAAAAGGTAATGTGTACTGCTCAATCAGAAAGTCAATATGCATTTTTTTAATTGAAGATGGAAAAATCAAGCCAACTTTTGTGGACTTTGATACAATCTTACTTTCACAAAATGTCCATGCTTTGGTTTTTGGCCAATAAATAAAACTGTACATGTAGTGAAGAATATACTACATTAATGTACACTATTGTACTGTTACTAATGTACAAAGCCAAGGGGCTCATAATACAATTGGAAATGGGTTGAACATGAATTTAAACAAAAAATGTTGCAAAAATTTAAACTTCTATATTACAGGTAATGGACAACATTTGAAAATGCTCAACAATGAAACTGCCAAAATGTTATGAAAAAGCCCACTTGATTGTAAGTATATAATAGTGTGAAGCATGCTGTGAAATCGTTGAGCCTGGTAGTGTCATTCTCAAGAAAAGAGGAATTTTGTATCAGTACTAACTATGGTTAGGACCTAACCATTGCTTAGAACAGTTAACGGCCATCAGTTAACGGCCGTGAGCCAGCTGTTGACTTCGTGCTTAGGCTCGGGTATGCTAGGTATATGTATGTAATTGGTTTCCCACTACAGAGCGGCACTTGGGCACTCCCTGTGATCTATGGGTTCTATCCGGGAGCTGCACTTTGATGAAAAATTGTGTCCATGTTTTTCCAGTACCGAAGGACACAAAACATTAAATAAACTTTCAGTGGAACGATGTCTGCTCTAAGTTAATAGCCCTTAAATTGGTTCATTTCATAAAATTACAACAAACGCAACTGATGTCCATCACCTTAAAAACTAATGCTGTTTAACACTGTATATAGGTCAAAGCTTTGTCCTCCAAAATTAAAAAAGACACTTATTGGTCAGACTGGTAAGATGTGTAAAAGCAACCTAAAATCAAATAGAAAATATACTTACCAGGTTTAACTACAGAAACTACTAATCACACGGACTACAGCACTAAATACAAATCATGCAATGTACAAGTATAAGTTAATCATAAAACAGTACATAAGCACATATTCTCCAGTAAGCATGTTTACAAGCAAATCAAAAGTTTTTTTTATACAAAAATAGATGTGAATACATTAAAAAATGTTGATTAAAATTTTGTTCATGAAAGACTAATGAATTTCTGAGTTATTTTTTTTATACAAACTAATGCTATTTTAATTGTTTTGTTAATCAGTTGTCTCAAAAGCTGCAGCTAATAGAATTATGACCAAAATTTCAGCTCTTCATAAATTCACATACATGTACAAGTATCCTGAACACAATCCTTATTGAAAAGTGTATGATGATCAGACAAGTGAATTTCTATTGGGGAACATTTCAAGGAACATCATTCAAACTCCAGGGATCTCTTAACACCATAATTTTTCAAGAATTTTTACTTACACAATACATTTTTTTTTTCAGTGGGCATGAAATAAAAGGTACATATAGTTTCCCCTGACCCTTTTCCATCTATCTAGGATGGCTGGTGCAGGTAGGCTCTTGCATTGTTGCTCAACAGCTTATTGAGTCCAATAACTTGGATGAGAATTGCAGTTACTAGACACATCACATTGCTGGTCTCTACACAAACATGCTTTCTGTCGACTCCATGATGTTGGGATCAGATTCGCTTTTTCTCATCTCAGATCTGTTCACAAAAAAGGGGGAAAGTGCCTTTGCTGTTAAAACGACCTGATAAAATAAGGGTTTTTCACACTATACTCGTGCCTACCCGTGTTGAAATCAACAAGAGTCCATCTAAGCAGAACTGGGTCCCATCGACCACCAGTCCACACTTACACTGGGTCAGCTGTAGATTTTGGATGTTCTACCTGGGTGGAGTCTCTCAACCCTGATCCCAACCAGGCTTGGATTAAACCCGTGTAGAGGGCTGAACTCATGTGGGAAAATGTGTTGGCTTTTTGCTAGCGTGAAAGGGGTTCCTGCAATCAACGTATTGGATCTGGGCCCAACAGGGAGATGTGGATAGTGTGAAAGGCCCTTTAATCAACAGGATGCTTTCTTTTGAGGGGGTTGTAGACTGAATAAGAACCTCCACAAATCCAAAATGGAAAACTGAACACAATTCACCTATACACCCGTATTTGGTTGAAAAAACGGAGCAGGATTTGAAGGTTCAACCTCAGGAGCATTGGCAAATTCGAATCCAGTTGCAGTCAATTTCTTGGTTCAGCCTTTATATTGAATTCATTTCCAAGAAAAGCCAATTTGGTATTTCTTTGCTGAACAATGAATTATAGTCCATATTCATGTATGTCATTCGGGATAGAGAAGTGTGACATCGTACAGTGCCAACAGTAAGGTCTTACTTGAAAGTTGTTAAATGTTGCACTGAATCAGTGAAGTACCACAAAGAACCAATACGGCTTTGTCTTGGAAATGGCTGTTTATTTTTTTTTCTCTCATGCGACCTATGACCTATACTCTTTTAACCAATGCGCAGTTGGAATACCGGATAGATTGACCAATTAGGCTCCGCCCACTGAACGCGCATGTATCAACACGTGCATCTCTCCAATGCAATACTATATATGTTCCAGACGCGTGCATAATAGGGGCAATTCCACAGTTACTCACGTTACATTTCTGTAACGCGAGTAACCGATTTTGTGCGTCTTGTCTATCATACATAACACATTTTTCTGGATGTCTTAGGTAGGTCCAGGTCTACTCTATCTACCATGGGGATAACAGTTATTAAACCTTTTCAGTAAGGAAACTCCAAAGTACATCAAAAATGTTACGTGAGTAACTGTGGAATTGCCCCTAGGCATGTCAGACTTTTGTGCATGCATGTTGGACATGAATCACGGCTGTGATTGGTCAGGACACCGTGGGGCGAGGCTTAACGGATCTGTCTATTGGCTGATTAGCCAGGTATGCCTGTTGGCCTGGTGTCCAGGACGACTGAGACAATGAAATACCTTATACTTGGTGAAGTGCTCTCCGTATGCCTACGAAATTTAGGCGGTGCTGCAGTGGGTGGCATTAACTGCAATTTTGATCACACAGGAAACGAAAACCGAAATAGAGAAAAGAGAAGTGCATGGTTAGAGCCACATCACGCTGTTAGAAAGCAACAAAATCAAATGACAAAACAAATGGAAAACCTCAAGGCATGTAGGAACAATGGAAATTGCCTAGAAATGTACGCACAAATTTAATGAGAAAGCCTTGGTCAAAGGGAAGATAGGGATGGTATCAAATACCCTGTGTAATTTTTCTGCCAGGAATACTTCAATTGAAAGGAAAATAGGGTGATTTTTTTTTTAAATGATCCAGCGGGCACTTTCTTTACTTGCATTCGCAATGGACCCATGGAAGAGACCAACAAAATTGTGCATACATGTATGTTTACTGTGTTTTCTCAATCTATGGTCACCACAAAGCTAAATTTTCAACGGATTAGCTGTTATGCAAACTACTTCAGAATTTGAGCAATTTTGTTTCTTCAAATAAAAGCAATGCATATTGAGCAAATGATTCTATGTACCTTTAAAAAAATGCTGCTTTGCCCTGCTACCAAGAGCTGAACTGACATTGAAAATAGGCCATTACAGTGGAGTTGTGCTCGTCAAGTTTGTCCACAAGTCAGTAACAACTCAGATCACCACCAGTCACAATAGAGGATGAGAATTGAACAGTGATGTCTTGGTCATAGTTCACTAGAGTAGAAGTTTTTGGTTGCTGACTTGAGTCTAGATGACTTGTGATCAACTCAAAGAGTGACTCATGAGGGGCCTTTGATTGATTTGTGATTGACCAGTAGTTTGACTCGTCACACTCGTGAGTACTTGTGATTTGAATTGTGACTAACTTGTGATTTGACTCAAGATTGGATTGTGATTTGACTTGCTTTTGATTTGTGATGAACTTTCCTGGTATTTACCTGACCTCTTCTGGGGAAAAAAAATCCCAAAACCATTCTTAAACAAACTATCCACCACCTTTGTGCTGCCTTTGCTCAGTTAGTCAATAAAACAAAAACATGTGCATGTAAAACAGTGAGAGTTCAGGTTTATCACCACCCAATCTCAGCTCTACCAACCACTAACTTCAAAATCACTCTTTCATATAACAGTGCTGTCACAGAAACTCTGTGCTAATCCTAAGAACACAGTACTTAGTTATGGGATCTTTGCATATATAAGTCGGAATTCCTTGCTAACCTATGAAATATGCATTAACGTTAGCAGAGGCATTTTGCTGGTCCCTCTTTGCACAAAAGTCACTAGCTCACTTGTGACCTTAGACTGGTTGCCGACTGGTGAATTAAGAGCCGGGCAGTGCTATCATATAGGATTACCATGTAATGCAAATAAGTGTGCAAAATCCTGTCCAGTGTGTAGACCAAATGCACGAAAGACTCCAGTAAATAGCCACCTCGTAATCAATTGGACATAAGTTTGTGCACTCTGGCATCAGCTTTAATAGGCTCCCCTTGCCTTGTTTGGCTACATAATAAATTAAATGTTTGGTAATCGTAAGCAGAGCAGCTAACTTCATGGACCTGTTTTCGACTTATTTTTGCTAACTATAGCAGAAAACTTTTTCCAACTGTAAAGTGTCACAGAATTGCAAGGAATTGTTTGTTTGTGCAAACGCAAAGATCCAGTAACTAAGAATTCTGTGCTTTTATGGATCAATGCAGAATTACTGTGGTAAGGTGACCACAAGTGCAGAATTCCATGTTATCTGTCTTACATAATCTACGCCGGCTTTACGGCTCCTTGGCGAGACCTGTAGCTTGGAGTTGTCGGTTTCATCCAGGTTATCGGCCGAGCCCCATATCCGGAAGGAGTTTTTGATAGTGTCACGGAAGGAGCTGAACATTTTGGAGTGATGATGCTGGGAATGCTTCTCGGGCGACGTCTCAGCTAGGGACATCAGCTTGATTCGAGGTGGGGAAGCTGTAAAAGGAGACGATGCAACTTTTGTTTAATTTTGGTTTTAGTTGTTGCTGAAACCCAAAGGATGGCCCATAGTCCCTTATATGAGTCACTGACTGATTGACTGACTGACTGACTGCCCATAATGACCTACACTGCGATGCTTATAATATCATCGTACTTTATACCAAAGGTCTCAAGGCACTTCACAATTATTACCCGTACTAATCAGGCCTCGAGTCTTGAGACCAGTTTTTTTCTGCAACAGCTCGAGATCAGTGCAATCTGGTCTCTACCTTCACAGGCACCCATTTATCTTCTCAGTGGACAGAGGCAATTGTAGTCAAGTGTCTAGCCCAAGAACACACTAGCATATATGTTGACCAATAGAATCTCGTGAATTTTCAACACGTCCAAGAAAAACATGGAGAGGAGCTTCACTTACTTGTTGGTGGAGTTCCTGTCATCATTTCTGTAACAAGAGAAAGATTTTAAAAAAACCTTTAAAATTATTTTTAAAAACACCGAAAAAAAAACCCCCACACAGCAAATTCACAAGAAATCCTGCAGGTGGAACAATTCAAATCTGAACTATTTCCTCTAAAATGAGAACTCTTATATCACTACTTCTAATGTGTTCTATTGTTCAGTTTTCTAAACACACACCACTGCAAGAATGGCAAGAATTTTGCGCTTAAAAGCACAAAACTCTGATTTTAAGAAACGTTTTACTGGTGCACTACTTCTCAACATGCTGGTATGAGGTTTGTTGTGAATGTGTGTGTGTAACGGTCATGACGTGATGTGATGTAGAGTTAAAGCTATAGTCCATCATTTGCAGCAATCCGAAAAGTAACTGGCGTAATTATTGTTGAATAACATACTTGGTTGAAAGATAGTAAGTGGACTGAACTCCCTATGAAATTATTCTTTCTGGCAAGCTGTCATTTTGAAGTAATCAACGAAAGAAGGCCTTTCCAACGGTGCGTCTTAAGACGCACCGTAGGAAAATTTAAATTAGTAGTTCGTTTTCTTATTCGGTGAAGTGCGCGCAAGCATTGGCACGACGCACACGCGCGCGGTTGCTATAATTCATCGGATCAGTGTGCGACATCATGTATAGCTGCAATCGGCTCAGTGAGAACGTGTCTCGGACGCTGTATTCAGGCCCAATTCAAAACATGATTCAGCAACTTTTGATTTGAAATTGAGATCCTAGAATGCTGTTTTTCTCAGAATATACAGCTGAAGCTGAGCTGAAACTTCATCAGGTTAGTTGTTCAGTATCCTTCATTAGATTTTGAACACTTTTGTTGCTTCAAACGAACAAAATGCACAAATTACAAATGATGGACTATATCTTTAACACAGGATTGACTGTGCGGTAGTCTTGGGCCACGGCTGGAATTTGTATTTTCTTCCCCTAATACAGCATGTCCCTGACAAGTGCATTAAAACCACAGTGACGGCAGAGGTTGCTATCAACAGTGATTCAAATTCAGTCTTGGGCAAAGACTAACTGTGCTGATGCAATTGGACTATTCAAATTGCATGATTTTTATAGTTACTCTACGAAGGGGAGAAAATGAGGTTTGGAATTTAGTTTGCATTTGAGAGTTTGCATGTCTCAAGTTGGATATTCAGTGAGATCATCTGTTTAAAAAACTCCCCACAAAAAAGTTCCAAGTTCTATCTTTCATTTTTTTTCCAGAAAGGCCTTGTCAACTAAATTCTTCAAATAAACAATCTGACAAGTTTCCGGAAGATTTGAATTTGAAAAAAAGGGAGGAATTTCAAAATAAATGCATGGGTTTTGGCAAGTGGCAGGGAAGTCAATCCTGTGCACTACTTTTTAAACCAAGTGATTATTTGCACGAATAACAAGTGGATGTTTTTGGTACTCTACTCTTATGAACTAGTAAGAACGGAGGTTTGGTTTAACATGACATTTGATTAATTCAAAATATTAATTAAATTCAAAACTAAATAAATGGTAAAGAAAATGCATCTGCCAAATAAAAACAACAACGAAACAAAACAATGACAAACTGAAATGCAAAGAACTTCTCTTTAAAAAGTGGAAACCTTGTTAAAGATGTCTGCATGAGAATTGAAACAAAACTGAAGCCTTCCCTTAATACACTGAGCAATTAATAATGTGCATAAACAGGTGTCTTAAAGCGGTATCAATGTTTTACTTTCAGGGAACAGAATCTACACTTTTAAAGCCACTTTCTTCGGAAGCATTTTACAGAGAAGCTGCGCACTATTCTATCAACAGCACTTTTCAAAATTTTTCAGGGTATTTTTGCAATGCTTTGCGGACAGAAAAGTGGTAGCATGTTTTCGTATTGTCAATGACTGTCTGCTAAATTTTGCAACTACAGACATGCATTGTGGTCTATAGATTGACAGATATTTTGAGATCAACCTCAAAAACTAAATATATGATAAATATATGAATGATAGAACATGTCAACTTAGAACGAGATTTCAAGTTGCATATGCAGATTCACACATACCATTTGAAATACATAAAAATTGGTTGTCTATTTCCTTCATTTTTTTCGACATGAAATGTTTGCGTGTCTTCATTTGCCGGGACGATGTTCTTGTTCCTCTGGACCCTAATGGCATTAAAGCCTGTTTTATTTACTTTTTGAAAATGTTGCAACACAATAACAAAAAAGAAAACACCCCCGTTAAAAATATGCAAAATACCAACAACAGCAAAATCAAGAAACCATCTTATTCCTTTTCAGAATTGCACTTTCCAATAAATGAAATTAAGAAACCCTTCATGCGCCCTAAAAGATTTAGGACCACATCTTGTTCCCAAAATAACAGTTTTCAGGTCCCCTGCCTTGTTCCTGCATTTGCTGATATTCTCATGATGCACAAAGTTTCAAAATGCAGAGGAATTTTGCAAATGCATCTCAATTCTCAATTGTATCACTAATCAATAAATGATCACTCGTAATTATGAATAAATAAATAAATATCACCCGATCCAATGACAAAATCTGAATCAAAATCATCACCAATCAAATATGAAATAATCAACTCGTGATAATGCTAAAAATGAAATCAAATAAAATGCAAAAGAACCAATTTGAAGGCTCTGCTAGCCATATAATTCTGAGCTTACGATCACCATTGTGCATTAACAGCCCCAGCAAAAATATCAGCACTAAGGCCAAAAAAAATAAGTCTCCGGTTTCTGGTATGGAGCTTGTCCAAAAAGTGGTGCGGCAACGCGGCTTTTTTTTTTTTTTTACCCGACTTTTTTGCTTCAAATGTCGGCTGATGACTGCAAATGGTGCCCGACTAAACTTAGTGCAAATATATGGGAGTCCAGAGAGGCCACATAAAGCTTATTCTCGATCATAACCCCATCTAAAAACACGTTAAAATTGTGCAGTAGCAGGATTCCAGTCAAACCAGTGAGTTTGGCGGTTTTGAGACATCATCTTTCATTGAAAAAAAACTTTTTCATTTTGCCGACGCACATGGCTACGGCGACGCGCACGCATACCAGAAACCGGAGACTTTTTTGTGGCCTAAACCTGTAAGCGCGGAATCTTTAGTGGGATGTACAAATGCACACAAGCCAAAATTCCTCAATAGCCTGTGAAATACGCTTACCATACGCAAATAATTTTCTGCTACAGTAAGCAGGATTATTTTTCCGCTAACAGTAAGCATAAGCAGAGCCATTAAATTGGGCCAAGATCTGTTAAAATTCTAAATGATTTCAAGATTAATACTATTAATTGACGTAAATGCATGCACAATGACAGCACCAATTAGTGACAGTGTGAGGATGGATTAAAGGGAAGTGTGATGAAACAGCTGCAAGTTGAGTGTGAAGTTAAAACAAAAGGCAAAACAAAAGAGCAAGCAGAAATGCATGTTCAGTATATTGGTGGCAACTTTTAAGAGCAGTAAAACGATCTCTCTTTTCGTTTAGCGCCAATATGTTTTTGTACTGCTCTGCACTAATGCAAATTTTGCAAATACTATGCCGCACACATTTATTTTCAATGTTTAACATTTTGCAGACACCTTCAAACAAAAAGATGAAAGAATTAATGGAGAAAGTTTTTGGAGTCTAGAGTACAAAACTTGCCACCATTTACTGAACACCCATCTTGACATGAAGCAACATGTTGAATGTGTCTCTTACCTTTTCTGTTGCATACAAAGCTCCAAACTTTGCTAACAATTTTTGTTTTCTCCGAAAATTTACATGAGCCTATTCTGTTTTCATTTGTCTCCTATAAAAACGGCTTTAGATACAATGGTATACAGAGGCACAGTAATGTTATTGACACAATCACTATGGTTACAATTCCCCCCGGCATTAGTAAATACATGAAGTTCCAACTGCACTGTCTTGAACTGTGGTCGTATGAAAAATTAACATGATTTCAATGTAATTTGATGATGGCATTATGTTACTTATGCAATTTGCAAATTTGATCTGCTGTAAAATGCACATCTTTTCTGATTTACACCCAAGTTTGTTCACACATTAATAAAAATAAGTCCTTTTCTACTCTGAAATTTCAGGGAAACGTACTGATGTAAAAACAAAATCCAATTACCAAATCAGGTTACGAGGTAAAGCATGATTTCTGAAATTTGCTAAAACTTTTTAATGGGAAATTACCATTGATGGTTTTATAATAATTCAATTTGTTTTAACAAAACAATTTTTTTTAAAGAGTTCCAGAAACAGAAAATAAAATGCAGTCATGCGAGGTCATGAGCAGTTACACTGAAAGTGATTTTTGCTTTCTTCAGATTTTTGTTCAATTGTTTTAGCTACCTACATACTACATGGAATGCATTATATGCAATAAATAAATTAATTGAGCTATACCAATTGGTAAAATACTTTGCCCACAAGGAAAGAACAGATATAATTGTAAAATGGTATTAATCCTTTCTTTTAATAAGTAAGATTTGAGGCTTTGCATGGTGAAGATACTAAATAATGAAAGGTTTGCGGAAACACCATGTGCGAATAATTTCTCAACTAAGAGAATGGTTCTGAAAAGAACCAGAGGTATAAACTCGACGTTCCGGTCAGTATGCTCTGACCGTCTTCAGGAGAGTGCCTAAACTCTAAGAAGTGAATACTTAAGTAGCAAAAGGTGAAATCAATGGAGTGTGAAGTTGCATCCTGTGAGGATGCCAAGTAGACAGGATCCCTGAGCAAGCTTAGTGCCCACTGAAGTGGAACAGTAGGGTTGCAGTGTCAGTGGAGGGAGGACCTTTCTTTTAATCTTTTTCTTTTAAGTTTTCATATGGCAAACCAAAAATTTTCTGTGAATAATCTATAACTTCAAATGTAATATATTTTCATTTTAGAAAACTCATTAAAATGATCTAATATTGTATACTTTATATACTCTACAAAAGAAGATTGTAAAATTGCTCAATCATTTAAACGTTAAAACGAAGCTT